TGGTTCAGCTCGCCGATTTAGCTACGTTTCATTGTACACTTCATCTTACATGAGGTCAGTTAGTTGCTTACGGTACGTAGCACTCTTGTGCACCTACTCTAAGGAAACGGATTTCGTCTCACAAGACCCAGGTTCTTTGTCGTCATCAGTGGAGGTATTATCGGTCTCTGAAACGTACTAGCATAGGTGATCTGTTGTTGTTAATTTTGTTGTCGCATCTTTCAGACCGAACTCGAATGGAGTTTTGTACCTATATCTTGGAGGTCATGATGGATCTGTTTGTTGTTCAGCGAATTCGCTTAGAAATGGCTGTGAAACAGCTTATCTGTCTCAATTTTGACTCGGTTTAGCGCGCGAGCAACGAAACATGCTTGGGTGTGGCTTGTGTCCATCAGCAACCTTCTTCACCTGCCTTCATTGGTGTTGTGTGATTAACATATAGTTGTTTACGTCTCACCCATCTGTGTCCATATGGCGTAGTACTGTGTCTGATGTCTTTGTCACCATACTGTTGAGATTTAGTACCTAACCTCTCGATTAGCAAAACTCCTACATAGTAGCTGCGCGGTATATGAGAAAGTTTAATATCGATCACAACCATTCACTGATTGCTCCATGTCAACGGTTATATGGAACACGATATGGTACTATCTGCATATACTAAAATGTAGCCTGTACCAATCGTCCTGAAGCTGTTTTCATACCAATAATAATAACAATAACAAGTAAGCGGAGGGCATTGGAACAATTAAGGAGCGTAAGTTGCGAACTATGGTTTCGGAAGATTTAGACTGAGGTGAGTATAACAGGGATTCCCCCTCACCCACTCAACCCTTCACTGACGATGTCACCTCGATTGGTGATGAAACGTTTGCAATCCAACTGCCAAGCTCGGCGAACAGACCAACAACCAAACAACGCACCCGAGCTACCTACATTCCACAACATTGCTAACAGGGATTCCTTTGGTGCTAGCTGGTGATTTCTGGGCAAACGTTCGCTATCAGTACTTTGAGTTCTTATCTGTTAGTCGTCATTACCTTTGGATTTTTTTTTGCTGAAAATTGCTTGCTTTGTTCCGTTGATTGGGAGGTTAGTTCACCAAAGCATCTATCAACTAATAGTTCAGGAATTCAACAAAACTTGATAGCAAGATACCAGCGCCTTTTGTTGTGCGGAATGCCTTTTCAACCGAATGGTGAATACCATTAAAGATATTCATGATCTCGGTACATTCGCTTTTGTATTTCGTTCCACCACTTTCCATCTTTCGCCTCTCTGACTGCTTCACGTCATAGACTTACTCTAGCCATAACTTATTTTGGGTATCATTCACCCTCTAGATGAAGCGGTTTGCGGAGTCGTTTTTCTGTCAAGAGCTTTCACTCGTTCATCTTCTGGCCGTGTATGATCCGAAGTAAGTTCAGTGATTGGTAAATTATTTCTCCGTGGTGTTCAAATGGTCAGTCGATAGGATTCGATCTCATCTTGTCGACAGTCGATTACTGCGTTATTGGTCGTTCCTTCGAAGAGTATAACATTTAGCGCGCTAAGGTACAGCTGCATGGGGAAATCATCTTTGGGGAGCTTTGGAACCCCCAGATGCCACATTGAAGAAGCGCTCCGATATAGGTGCTTTATTGGCACGGAATCAGGTAACACATTCACTGACTTATCCATCACCAAGCATCCCATGGCAGTTTATTGGCAGCACCACCGTTACAGGGGATGGCGCCGTCTTTTTGGATGACGATTTCAACTTAATGAGTTTCCCCCACCCGGATGGCAAACAGAAATGTACCTTTATGTTTGTAAGAGATCTTTGTGTCTACTCTAGTTGTCACAGGGCGCACTCAAGAATCCCCCTCGTCTGTATTAGTCCCACTGGATAAAATACTCCTTCAGGGTGTGCACAGCGGCATCCATGGCTCATTGCGGGATCTCTCGATTGATGTGAGGTCATCCCTAGTGGAAACCTAGAGAGACTTCTAACGGAGACCACCCGTAGAAAGCCCACAACACGCTTCTATGTAGGGCACGACTAAGTGTGCCCCACTCAGAGTGACTCCTCTCTCATCGTAAGCCGAATACCCATTCCCCCTAGGTGGTCTCTTCTGGGGAACTATGGGTTACCAGTAGCAAAGGCGTGGTTCATCTGTCTGAAAGTCTGTATTCTTCCAGAACCGCAATACTAATGCTGGGCTTATTGTTTTGTTCTACCCTTTAGTACGGTTGGACACGAGGCACTAGCAAACGAAGTAAGACAATCCGCCTACTTTCAACACTTACCTTCACTACCTGTCAGCTGCCGCGAATTGGATGGAGACACGACTAGTTTGCCGATTATTTTCGAGGACATATATCTATCGCCTCCGGTCGATTCAACTGATGTGAAGGAATCAGGAGGGCTCGGTGACGATGCTGTGTACGAGACTGTCAAACCGTCGGTGCTGGCTGATCGTTGCAGTTCACCAATAAGCGTACTTGTCAATGGCACCTGTGAACCTGTAAAGACCAGAAAGACTGTGGACGTTGCTGTTGGTACTCGATCCGAAGGTGTGTTTGGCGTCAGCGCAACTTTTTTCTCTTGACCGTTGATTCCCTCAAATCGGTTAATTTGTTTCCACCTACCGTGGGTACTGTTACAAAGCCCGCCGAACTGGGAATACTGATCTTTAATGAGTGTTGGTTTTGGAGTCGGCTAAGTTTCAAGCAGGCTGTCATTTCCCAGCCGGCTGTCTGACCGAAGTCTGTAGGCCGTTGTATGGTGACCTCATGCCAAATGAGGTTCGCAAAAGATATCGGGTTGATTCCACTGGGCCCGTCCTACTTCACTGTGGTGCTCAGCTGCGTTACTGTCTCAAGATATGGGTGCCTTGTTCTTGACTGCTTTCAATGGGGCATAAGGCTGTTTGTACTAAGTCCGCACCTCTTTTCTCTGTTTACCAAGGCATTCTTTGTATGGCAGCTAAATATCACTGCTTACTACTGATGTGATGCTGTTGATGAGGGCGATGATGATGATGATTTTGATGTTGATGATGGTGTTGAATCAGCTGGTGTCATTTCACTGGTGAGTTTTACGTAGATACTGTCCTAACGTGTGAAATCGGTGAATTGTACCATGATTCAATGTGGACGAGTTAAAGGCAGAATTTCGTAATATGTCTCATCCCTCCCCTTTTCTTTTCACCCTTTACCAAGCATTCTTCCACATGTTAGACACAAGTATTATTGCTGTTGTTAATGTCGATGAGGATAACGAATTCAGTCTCGAGCAACAGTGAGCTTTGTAAAGAACCGGATGATGCCGTCTCCAACTAGCCCTGGTCGAGCCTTGAAGCCTTTTAATACTGAATTTTCAATCGACCACGTACAGTTTGACGAAATTCTGAGCACTTGACCCATCATGCACGGGAGAAAATGGCCCCATCACTGTCGTTACTAAAGGTATATGTGTGTCGAAGGCCTATACTGATCACTTTAATCATCAACAGCACGTCATTGTTGACTCGGTGCCGAACTACCTATTGATATGTTTCATCCAATCGGTGCATTATGGCATTGAGGCCCTCATTCATTTTCACCCCTCATTGAAGCTTACATTGGCGAAAATGCAAGCTACTTCAGAAGTTGAGGCACCACCTGTTAAACTGGGGGCCAAGATATCCGAGACACTCAACCCTTCTATACTGGTATCGTAAACGAACTGAAAACCACCACATCTTTCAGCCCGCGCCATGCATGTAAGAAGTGCGGTCATGCTTCGGAACGTGCAGTCTCTGAACATGCCCCTTCCAATTCAAAGAGAAGCACCAGAGTTTATGGGGAGTTTTACATACCTCGGTAGTTGCATTAGGTCTGACGGAAATGTGTCTGATGGAGTCAGTGCACCAACCTCAAAGGTTCGAAACTCGTTTGCTGATTTACGTCACTTGTGGCGTCAAAAAGGCATACCACTGCGTCTTTAGGGTCGCATGTACCAAGTTACAGTAAGGCCAGAACCAGGTTCCCTCTCGCACCCACTCTTTTCTGTTCTTTTCGAAATCGGTGAATTGTACCATGATTCAATGTGGACGAGTTAAAGGCAGAATTTCGTAATATGTCTCATCCCTCCCCTTTTCTTTTCACCCTTTACCAAGCATTCTTCCACATGTTAGACACAAGTATTATTGCTGTTGTTAATGTCGATGAGGATAACGAATTCAGTCTCGAGCAACAGTGAGCTTTGTAAAGGACCGGATGATGCCGTCTCCAACTAGCCCTGGTCGAGCCTTGAAGCCTTTTAATACTGAATTTTTAATCGACCACGTACAGTTTGACGAAATTCTGAGCACTTGACCCATCATGCACGGGAGAAAATGGCCCCATCACTGTCGTTACTAAAGGTATATGTGTGTCGAAGGCCTATACTGATCACTTTAATCATCAACAGCACGTCATTGTTGACTCGGTGCCGAACTACCTATTGATATGTTTCATCCAATCGGTGCATTATGGCATTGAGGCCCTCATTCATTTTCACCCCTCATTGAAGCTTACATTGGCGAAAATGCAAGCTACTTCAGAAGTTGAGGCACCACCTGTCAAACTGGGGGCCAAGATATCCGAGACACTCAACCCTTCTATACTGGTATCGTAAACGAACTGAAAATCACCACATCTTTCAGCCCGCGCCATGCATGTAAGAAGTGCGGTCATGCTTCGGAACGTGCAGTCTCTGAACATGCCCCTTCCAATTCAAAGAGAAGCACCAGAGTTTATGGGGAGTTTTACATACCTCGGTAGTTGCATTAGGTCTGACGGAAATGTGTCTGATGGAGTCAGTGCACCAACCTCAAAGGTTCGAAACTCGTTTGCTGATTTACGTCACTTGTGGCGTCAAAAAGGCATACCACTGCGTCTTTAGGGTCGCATGTACCAAGTTACAGTAAGGCCAGAACCAGGTTCCCTCTCGCACCCACTCTTTTCTGTTCTTTTCATCGGGGACTGTGCCTACCTGATGAGCCTCAAGAAGGGCGAAGAGTTTTCAGCAACCTTGTGAATAGTTTCCTTTATTAAAATAGACTGCGATATCTCGAATATCGTGCCAACTGAATCATGAGGCGAACTGTGTGCAGCACGTTCAGTTGTAGAATAGCATAAACGAGACATTCAGTTGAGTCTCTCGTGAAAACCAAATTGATTTGCAAATGAGTGTATTTCTCGGAAACAGTGCAATTTGGGTTCAAGTAGAACATAAGGTTGACGGAAGCTCGGGGACTGCGCCTACTTGATGAGCCCCGAGAAAGGCGACACCGGTCGTGGGCTGTCGAAGAGTTTTCAGCAACCTTGTGAGTGGTTTCCTTTATTAATTATAAAAGCTTTGTGGTTGTATAGCAGTGAGGCATTAGTGATTTCTCTGTCTCTTTTGAGGGTTTCCCATTGGTCTCACCTGAGCTTGAAGAACCTAGCCTCAATTATGTCGTGGTTCTTCATATTACGTAGTAGGAAATACACGCAAAGGAAGTCATACCCGAACTTTTGGATTTTCCGTTTGCTTTGAGATGGTCTGAATTCAAGAGCTACCTTATGAATTATATTTTGTCTTCTGTAGGACTTGTGAGTGTATCCATTCCCGGTTTCCTCATGTGAACATCACTTCGGGTATTCTACCCTACGACTAGAGTTTTTGGATTCCTTGCGTATATTATTTCTGATGCCACTGTGTAGAGGTTTCCAGACGAATAGCTAAGCCGATAATGCCTTTATTGCCCATTGCTATACGTTGTTCTATTCGACACTAAGTTCGTGCTCTAACTGCCGAGTTGTCTCGAGCGCTTTGCTTTTAACCACTAACCCGGAGGTCATGTGCTCTAACCTGAGATACGCACTGCTATCGATCCTCAATGTAGATTGTACAGCTGTACAGTGCTTCTAAGCTTTTCGGCATCAATTGACTTCACTTACAGAACCAAATCTCTTGTACTACTGAATTTTGTAGCAGTCTTCGTTGGAATCATCTTGTGCACAAAATTGTGTGCCGAAACCTAGTGTGTTTTCAGATTTGTGTTTTATAGCATTGTCAGAATAACTTGATTGTTGATTTGTTCTCTGAGCTTGTTAGTTGGTTTGCAAACATTTCGTCCCCAGTCGAGGAGGCATCGACGGCACGGGGTTGGGTTGATCCAAATGACGCTGAAACTACTCGCACTCAATAAAAAGAAATGCAGAAAATCGGGCAACAGAAATTCGTTACTCTAAGTCAATGTAGTAGTCGCACGGCAGCCAGATCTCTGTCGCAACATCAAGCTTTGTAAATGGGCTAACCTAAACCTTGATTGTGCAACCGGCACACGATGTAGGGTAGAGACACCCGTCGTGTACATATCTGTCATGACCGTGTCAGTCTCTTTGGATTTCATGCAATCTCCGCTGAGAGCAGAGTTATCGTAACCGATGAGGTTGTATGTGTGCGCAGCAACAGTGCTATACTAATGCGTGTCATAAACCACCATATCTTCGGTTAAACTTCCAGTTACTTATCCGTGACCTACAGTTCGCACATGTGAAGCTATTGTGCAGATATCGCAAACTATGGACCGTACTTTCCAATCGGCCTTTTGGCACTCAGTTACCAGTATTTGCCGTAAATTTTTGATTAGTTTCGTTGTCGTTCTTAACAGGCTCGACCTTTTTGGCGTTGTATGAACCGGATACTAATCAGATGAGCGTACGTCGCAAATCATACGCAGCATAGCACATTTTTCGTTACGGTAGACCGCGAGGACGGCTGTCACCACGGATTCCCTAGAATCTTGTGACTATTCCTTTATCACAACTTTTTACAGGTTCGTCTTTCGATATCTAGGACACGGCTTCAAGCCATTACAACAGTGATTTGACCCTTACCTCCTCGCCAATAGGTTCAACTTAGCTAAGTGCGGTCGATCGATGTCAGTCTCCCTACTGCAATTTCCGCCCATATTTTTGTACCTGTATATAAATTCATCTACCAACTGGTCGCACCCACGGATTACCGAAATTCCTACTATTTTCCTCTGTTCAACAAATATGTTGTCTTAAAATGCAGTATGAAAAATTCAACAGATAAGTAATTTTGTTGGCGATTTTCAGCCAAGATTGTCAATTAATCTTCAAACTCAACAAACCACTGTCAAGTTATTTCCAAGGAGCTTGAAACTGTCAGTTTCAAGATGTATAGATCGGGCACGTTCGGCATGAAGTTTTCAATTTATGTAAAAAGCCGTCAAAACGGACCCGCAGACAATCGCATCATCACCACATGTATCACAGCAGATGAAATTCTATGTACTTGCCACTTGAAAAGTCATAAATCACGTTTGACCGCAATTTTCCCTTTCTATACAGCCTGAGGAATAAAATGACGCAGATAAGAAGATATAACGTTGTAAAAACATCTATTTACACTATTTATACGATATCCTGACAGAAAGATTTATCGACACCATTTTTAAAATGTTTCGGAAACAATCTAAATATATTTTATTCTCAAAATTGTACTGCCTACAACGTAATTCGTTTCCTTCGTGAATTAGTGGTATCTCAGTCTGCTCGGACCAAATACTTGGTTATCCACTGGTCCAGGGGACAGTGGGCATGGGTACACACCAGTACATGAGAGATCTTGTATTTAGGAGGATGTTGTTAGTTTAGGTAGCGTAACTAGTCGTTGGTTTGTTCGTTGAGCTGGACAATGTGATTGCAGACGTTTCATCCTAATCGGGGTGACACCATCATTGCGTTTTTAGGGAACATCCTGGCAACGCACCGATGATGTTACTTCTTCCGCTTATCCGTCCGTATGTAGCTCAGGAAAAAAATGATGGTTGTTCGGCCTGCCTATTGCGATTGTCCTTGAAGATGGATGTTATACCCAAGAATCCCGACGGACAGACTGAATGATTGCAACCCACATTTCAAAATCTGAACTAGTGGTGCCTAGTTTGATGAGGAACACTTTCTCTGTGAACTTGATGGGGCCGAAGGTGTTTATCAAAGTTAGTTCAGCTGTGGACAATTGAATCAGTGTCCCCCGGTTCTCTCGAATTTTTCCTGCTTGGTGTCGCGGAGGCCTTTGTCCTACTTCCCGAGGCTGTTTAGGTGAGCACTTGGAATCCTCAGTGCCTAGGTCGCTTCGACAGCATATCAGTTAATGTAATCCTGTGCTTCCGCGTTTCTTTCCATTCATACAAAAGAAACTGCCTACAAGTGGGGAGCCGTAATCATGACTGGCGGTGCTTGAATTAATGTCTTCATTATGGCGGCCTTTACTACCACGGAACATATTCTTAAATGAATGGTTCCTGTCCACGCTAAGGCTTTCAAATGAATCATGGTTGTACAGCAGCGAAACATCAGTGTTGAACACTAATGTCACGCTGTCAATGATGATGATGGTCAATTATTTAAAACACGGGTAAATGTGTTGCCCGTCAATCAAAACCAATATGTTTCTGACGTGTACCTACTTCACTTTTAGGTGATTTTCTCATTTTAGGCAGACCGATAGACTGTTCAGTTTAATTTTAATGGCTATATCGGCTGGGGAAGTTTTAGGTTCCTCTAGAGGCACTTTGGGAGGCAAATTGTCTAGAAAAGTTTATCCCCCCCATTGATGAGGCTGACTTCGTGCCTTTTACCTCGTGACCACACTAGTTCATTTTCTTAAACTACCTGGGTGAGGACGTGGATTACCATTTTGGTGCCTCGGGTTCTGTCCCTCAGGAGCACCTTTTCAAAACGGGCCCTGACTATTTCTTTTTAATATAATAATTAAGCATCTAAGAGAGAACTTTTTTGATCGCGTGTCGAGAATCATTCGTGGACTTGTGTTGTCCTGTCTAAACCCTCAGGGCTGATTTGGTACATACTATTAGTGAGCTGGACATTGTTTCTCCCTACACGACCATTAGTAGAAAAATGCTGTATTGAATAAGTCTACTGAATAGCGCACCATTCATCACTATTAAGGATCTGAAGCCAAGCCTTAACAATTTTCATACCAATTTATTGTGTTTGTTATATGGCGGCGCAAATAAAGTTTGTTATTTTGTGTTAGCACTTTTGTTTCTAATCACAGTTCCTGGAGTAATTTATTTTACGAACATGTGATACCTAGTGTGACTTTGCAGCTCATGAAATAACCAAAAAATAATTCGTTCTATTTCTCGCAGTTCGTGGACGGCGTTCGTCACTCGTCGGTAGCTGCCCTGATCAACACGCACGCACCTCCTCCCTGTACAAACTCAAGTTATTTTCACGGTCCAGTCCGGCGCTTGCGGATATTGGACTTCCTCGTGTGTCACTCAATCTACCACCGGTTCTGCGGTATCTCGGCCAGAATAAACGAAGACGATGCCGAACCAGTTATCCAGGACGTCGATCATTTCACCTGATTCGGCCGCGGGTTCACAGTGTTCTGCCTACTCCCAACCACACAGATTCCATCCGTTTATTAGGCTACCGCAACCGTACACCGGATGATTCGATGGAGAACTTGTTCATTTCTTCAGATACTCCCATCCGCCGACCCACTACACACAGATCACGTGATCGCCACCCTTCCACCCCCGAGTTGCCCACTAGTAATGCCTCCGTCGGGCGTGTTGGGCCAGTAAGTCGCGAGTAAGTTACCGCATTAGCCGAGACTTCATCCACTTTAGTCGCATTCTTTCCGGTTTAAATGGATTTTCACTTAACTAATTAATCTGCCTACTCAAATAAACGCTTTTCTTTTCTGACTAGACCTGTGACTAAACTGGAGGATACGAGTGCAACATTATTCTTCCTCTCATTTCACTGAGCTCTTAACTTTGGAAGTGAGCTAACAGTACCCTCAGTTCCGTCTTTTTTTTCACTACTCACTTGATGGACCATACTGGAAGGGAAGCCTTTCATAACCATAATGAAGTTGCATGGAAAGCACGCAGAATCATGTCGAGACACTAAAGTGCATGAAAATCAAGAAGTCACACGTATAGCACAGAGTCAGCTGGGTTTTGTCCTTAGGCACTAACTCCACTCCTGAATAATTGAGGGCTGAAAGAAGCGGGGAAAACAGAGTGAATCCTCGAGAGTTTTTCGTTTCTGGATATTCTCATCTGGCAGAAGTAATCGGGGCGTTGTAGAAACTTAGGAGGCAAAACAGGTTATATGAATTTGGAGCGAACAAAGAAAAGAAAAAAGGGATTCGAGGTCACTGGTCAGTTTCGGGGAAGCAACAGGACTCAACTTTCTGTTGAACTTGTTCCAGAAGTAAAAGTTTAGTGGCAGGATACGGAACCTGAACGTGAAAACGAAATCCCATGGTGGAACGAATCTGATGTTTAGGAGTCGAGGAATTCCCCGGAATGATATAAGTGAATTCGTGGAGAACAGCATCATCTGCAATTGCGTGAATTCAGCCAGGGACGGGGAAAAGCGGATCTTAGTAAAGATGTGAGGACAGACAGAAGAAAACACCACTCCGACGTTGGTGGTGTTGGTCTGAAAAACGGCCCATTGTTTCATTCCCCGGAATGATATAAGTGAATTCGTGGAGAACAGCATCATCTGCAATTGCGTGAATTCAGCCAGGGACGGGGAAAAGCGGATCTTAGTAAAGATGTGAGGACAGACAGAAGAAAACACCACTCCGACGTTGGTGGTGTTGGTTTGAAAAACGGCGCCATTGTTTCCGAAGTTTCTACTTCAGTTGACCAAAAGAGGGCGTAGGCTGTACATAGGTAGCTTGGCGGAGACCCCTTAAACCGTGCTCGGTTCAAACATCCAGGCAAAATGGTTCAGCTTCATCAAAACGTATAGAGCAGATGACCGGACCTATGAAAAAATACGCTTGCAGGACCCCGGTAGAGCGGTTACTCCTAAATCCATATTGCTGGTCGCAAGAGGACACGCAGCCAGCACTCCACTGGAGCTATTCGGTCACGATGGACTTTAGGACTTTGGATAAAATGAGAGCGACTGAAATAGGAAAGTTGTCCGAATCGGAAAGGTAGTGAAGTTCTGCAGGAAGATGGCATAACACACTACCAGATAGGCTTGAGGGAAGAAGCAAGCGACGGCATAAGTTATAACGTCAATTCGGAGCAGTGTAGGAATGCGATGTGATCCGGGAGACTTCTATAAGCCAAGGGGAATAAAGGACTGGCAAATGTTCCCAGTCAGCAGTCCAACATTGGTGAACCTGTACCCACGCTGTTTGTTTGAACCGCCCAGCGTGGTGCGTTTGGTCGGTTCAGAACTATCGCACCGGGACAAAAGGAGGACCATTAGAATGAGAATGATGAGTTTCACAAGTTCCCAAAATATTCACAAGTGAGCATGTCAGTGAACGGCGCTTTTATGGACTGCTATATAAACAAGTGCAGTTTTTGTCGAGAATTTCTATTCTTCTGACTATGGTGACAATGATAAGAAGTAAAGGTCTTCGGAATTTCTATTTCAGTAATTTTTATCTCTTGTTGAGCTTAAATCTTCGAATACGCTTTTTCCAGCCATTCATACTTTCTCTGCTTTTTTGTTTCCCGTTGGATTCAAATTTATATTATGCTGGCAATTAACGAGTAAAATCCACTTAGGACACCAGGGAAGGTAAACGATATTGTCGTGCTTTGTATCTTCTAAGCTCTCCAGCCAATGTTGCTATTTGTTCCTACGTGATTACCTTTATGGTAATGAATGCGAATAGTTAACGAGCGTGCAAAATACATTAGATATGCATTTTTAGGTGGCTTGAAGCTGACTTAGAGCTTTTTCCACAAGAGCCTCTACATTGTCCTCTTTGCAGCACTTGGTGAGTGCTACGTCTTCTGTAACTAAGGCAACAGAGTAGAACCCCTGTCACGCTGTAGTTATCATATATATTCATAGGTATAGAATATATGGTGTATTGTTCACACCGTGTTCTGCCGGATGTGTGCTACCATGGCTGCTCTTCCCCGTTGTGCATGAATTCGCATGACGGATAATTAAGTATTTGGTGCCTGAATTTTCGGTTATTCTTTATTCGGTACTCGCAAAATAACTCTAGTACTGAATTTTGGTAGTTCATTTCTGGCTGTCAGATGAACTGGTCTGTCTTAAAGTCCATTGATTACTTGAGGTTCCTGCGCTTCAGGTAGCTCTTTGCTGCTCTAGCAGCTGCTTAGTTCATGGCATCTGGCCTGAATTTTCATGGACTTATACGTTGTTCAGGGGTCAGTGTGTTTTAACACACACGCCGTTGGTTCATTTGTTTCCTTAACGGTTACTTCCAGTGGCCATTTGTCGGTGGCTAATGTTTATTGTTAGATGCGCCAATCCTCTCCTAAGTGCTTTACTGTCAGTCTGGTGGTGTTAACATCATTAATTTCGTCGATTTGACTTTATGGCTTACTGTGACCGCCATTTATAGTTGAGGAAAACACCGAGTCACAAAAATTCCAGCGGCAAAATTTTCCTACCTTATCTAAAATATAGGGTAATTTGACCTTATCTCTGTCTGATGTGATCGCCTATACAAGCAAGCTCGTGGTGAGTTAGCCCATCACGTTTCCAGATTGTAATATGAATCAAATGTTCCATGTTTTCGATCAATCAGTAGTCGACCATTCGCACAGGAGGTCCTTGGCAATGAGCTCTCCACTCTTGAAAATAAAATATCTGGTGCATAAACCACACCATCTGCTGGTGTCATTTTCACGCTTAAGTGAATTAATTCATGTTACAACCTATGCCACACGGGAAACTTTGAACAATAAGCATGGGTATTTCCGAATCCCTAACTTTATAACTGCTATTCATGTTCCACAATGTAGCAGTCGAACTCGATCGATGTTATGGTCTGTTCCAAACGATACCATGGATCGGTCGGTTGGCCACAGTCTGACTGTTTCCAGATCGTCTTCAAACCAATCGGGTCGCCAAGTCAGCTCGCCCACGAGAATTTCTCTCTCCTCACAGCCCAATGATGAATCTGCTATGAAGGCCTCACGAAATAAATCAATAATACGGGCGGACAGTTACTCCGAATTCCGCACCAGGGCTTCTACTGTCTCTCATTCTTCATATCGACGGGTGTTTCGCAAAGTGAACATTTCGCGTGCACAAACTGTGCGACTAAGTTGGACTCCCAGTTCCAGTGATCGACCGACCATCGCACTGGGCACACTTAGTCGGCCACCTCCGTTTCCTCCCGGTGGCCGCATGCCAAAACCTGATGTGTCAGAAGGGATAGATCTGTTTCCATTCTCAAAGGTAATGAAAAATAACGACTCATCAATAATCTCTTTTCGGTTCACAGTCCCATACTCTCTCCAGCCTGTCGGTACCGAATATTTTTACTACCTGTTCACCATATCGAATCAACTCTGATTCTGCCTTGAGCGAATCTACGAAGAAAGCGAAAACATTCAGACACCTCAAACAACGGCCTAGGAAACTTTCTTGTCGAGGGTCGAGGTAGGTACTTCAAACATTTCACCTGCACGGTTACTGCATTATTCTGAGTATACACTTTCCTCTTACAGTTCGAGAAAACTTCGCCCGTAAAACCTTATTCCACAAACCACAGTTTTTCTGAACTTTTACTCCAAAATAGCTCACTGCTTTACTAAGCTGCACAGATCTTGGGCACCGAACGAGCGTTACAGCTAGACGGTTCACTCTGAAAGGCAACAATTTCTCAAAAGAGAAATTCGTACTTTTAATGAGGCGCAATGCCTTGTATGATATTCGGTTTCCCACCTTTCACATCAGCTCTCCACTTGAACATTTGGTCTTCCGTATGTTGTGTTGAATAACAGTGACAGGTGAACATACTGTACAGCACAAGTTTTTTTTTACATCGTAAGACAGGTCAGAAAAGTTTATACTGGGAGCCAGATCAATCTCTTGTATGGTTCCTCATTGTGTCTCATAAAGCCTTTGCAAGTAAACACTCCGCTACCCAAACCCATTTCTTTCGTGGGAAGGGAAATGCCTGCAGTTTGGCTCATTGGACAACAGGAGTATGCTTACCTAGCCGAAATTTGTTTAACAGTTTTTCCGCTTAACTTAGCCGCTCGCAATCCTGCTGAACACGTGAATATTTGGAGAAGTTGAGTTCCTGCATCACAGCTATTGTCTACGATGCATTGCTGTTCACAACTCCAACACTAGACTGCGTCCTCAATCCATCGATTTACATGCTTAGTATCATTGTGAGATGTTACTTTTCCTTTATACACACACTAATGTGCTATTGAATGATCTGTTCTTCTTTCAGACGCTCAGATTCCTGGTTGTGCAGGACGTACACACAAGAGTAAGTATCAATTACAGAACGAACTGCTAGTCCAATTATCACAAGACGTTCACCAAACTTTTATCATTTTTGTCGATAGCTTTATTACCCACGTCCCCTTTATTACACACGCAAGGTGTCCATCAGGCAAACCATTATTTGGCATATTCGTCTAGGCAAAGTCCGCACACTATATAGGAAGGTGCGAATTTTATAGTAGATGAATAAACGGCGGGATATGTACCCAACTTTCATAGAACCCCTTCTGAAGACATGCGGATTACATGGGGCTCCCATATCAGGTAAGGTCAGTATTCAACTGTTGTTCATTAACCTACGGCGGCGTATGACACTTTTTGAAGCGGGGCACTGGTTTTCGTCAAACCTGTACGCGGGACACCAGGCACCTATTCCAATCCAAAGTTTCTGATTGTTTTATCTGGCGTCACAAATCTTTGGACACTATTGACCAAGGTGCCTGGCAACCGCTTTGGATATGGGCGTTCTGTAAGGGAGCAACTTTGTATTGGCTCCAAAAACCTGTGCCACCTGTTTCCCTGGTAGAAAAATAATGGTGCAGAGAGTTTAAGCCATTCCCGCCGCCGACTCTCTGATGTGCGAGCCGATTTCTGTTCAACTGTAGTGAGTTGGCATGTTCGATCATTCGGTATGATGTGTAGAAACTACGTACTCAAGGATTTGTGATGTACTTTTCACGTTCATCCGCACCGCTGACAATGGGAGCACTGATATGCAGTGATTGTTAGAAAAACCAATGAGTGGTTTGTGCCCACGTATGGTTGTGCGATTGAGAAATGGCTTTCGTGGACTGTTTTCATGGGTAGTCGTATCGAAATAGTTACTTAGAGGATTGTAAATGTACCGAGCATTTTTTACATATTGTTTTCATAGCTACTTGCGGACAGATTAACAACCATTCCTGGGAAAGTTTGTTATATACAGCTCGTGAACACAAATAGTGGAGCACGATTTCATGCTTCATTCTTAGGTGGTTTACCCTTATGCATTGTTTCCAGTTGCCGTTGAAGCATGCTCGGCTACAGGGATGGGTATAACGATTGACCTATAAATTAACTGAGGTATACCACAGAACTTCCGTTTTTAGTTTTATACCGCAAATGCTGAGCTCCACTTGATAAGAAAACTTGTGGTCGACCGAACTACCGACTGAACGAAAGGTGGTGGTGAACGACCATGAACAGCACACTGATGTCAAGACCATAGGGGGGTTGTCGACCTTCACTTCTAACAGGGGCTCTAGAAACACCTATCTTCGGGAGCAGATTGCTGTATTTGTATTCGTTACTTATGCTTACCTTGCAACAGTCTGCATAGCCGTGGGGTACCCACTTATTTCTACCATCTTTTTCAGTTTAGCCTATTTGGGTTCCTGTCCCGATTTGACGGTATCAGTGGTTCCAGAACTGGCTCTACACAACACGTCCGCCCAACTAATTACTCAGTCGGCTAATCGTCGTCACCTTACTTCAGTCAACTTAGCGCGATGCATCTCACGGTCCACATCGGACGTGGAGTCTGCAGTGCGTGCCTCCAAATCCACCCTATTACTACCATCCTTTGACACTATTGCTGATACAACCGTCTCCGCCACAGGTCCCATGGAATCCCGATCGCTCGATAAGGGTCTCCAATCAACCGACAACCGCAATAACATTGGTCCTACTACCCTTGGCACTCGTTCTTTGGTAAAGGACCTTCAAATTAATGGCGATTTGTCCGTTGTTCCGGTAGAAGCACACCATATGCACAGTGAAACAACTGTAACCCCTCGGATTCAACACGTAAACGGGAAGCCCTGCGCGATAGTCAATCAAAATATCGCATTTAACATAAATCACGTGTATGAGTCGAATCCTATTGGACAGGCCCCAGCACAACCGTCTTCTGTCAAGTCACCGAATGAACACCGGTTAACTGAATGCGGCTATCACGTGTTGAATCTTGAGGATAGTGAAGATGAAGATGTGTTCCCGCACGAAAATCCAAAGGATGAAAAGCTTAGTTTTGTGGAGTTGTTGCGACAAGAGAATGCATGTCTCTCCAGTGTGATGGCCACAAAACATGTAAGCAGTCTATAGCTCTGTTCAAAATCATTATCACTATATTCGTCTTGCCATCAATGGGTTATTTTAATGGTATTCCATTTCTAAATGCTTGGTATAGTGATTTGTTTTCTTTCTGCAAACCACAGGTACTGAAATGTACAAGTTATACAATGGGTTCACTTTCATTTATTTTCATGGGTGTAGCTCTTCTGGCAAAATTCTCCAAGTTGAGGTTATAAAAACAGCTGAGTATTTTAGCGGGACGCGCAGTAGCGTGCTGTTAACACCGAATGCGGTCCCCAAGCTTTCGAGTACTCTCCGGAGAGTGCCTTCGATCCGGATTTACTTTTACGTTACTTGACGAACATCAGTAGCATCATTAGCCCCGAATTCGGAAGTGAGCTGTAGAGAATCGCACACGATGCCTGCCCCATTTGAGCTCATGATAACCCAGTGATTCAAGCTCGAACTTACTGACGGAAATGTCCGTTTTTCCAAACCAACCTGTGCTTCTCGACTGCTTTTGTAAAGGCTTGGGCAGTATCTGGGTCCTCGCGCTTCTATCGTGTTGTATAGCAACTAGGAACCAAAAGGCTGTTAAAGCTGGACGATTACTACTACTTGTTTTTTGTGCTGGCACACCTGTTAGCTTATTAAAATTAACTGAATTAATGCTTCAATTTCTATCAGTCTGGTGGATATCACTGCAAATTCGTGCATTGCGACAGATTTCTCAACTTATCCACGGTCATTACATTCTGTTTCGGTACTGCTGAATTGATTTATCCGCTGTGCCCCTCGCGATTCATACAGTAACCCGACGACTGCTCAGTTGTTTAAGCCGAGTTTTACCTGTCCTTCAATTTGCCGTTCTGCGAAATCTCTCTGAGCATGTTGTTGGTCGAAATGAAGATGCGAAATTTAATTCGTAGGTTTTCTTTCTAATCAGACTCGATAACTTTTGTAGTTCGTCGGTGAAGGTGTTTGTGAACCAGTCAGTCTTGTTCTGTAGCGGCGGTTGGTCCGCAAAACCGTCCACATTCTGACACTGTGGGAGAGTTTTGTCTCTTAGGTCATGCCGCGGCAATGTGCAACTTAGTAAGAATGCGTCGACGTGAGTTTTTCGAGTGAACTGTTCTGTACTATAGAGTGTTGTGGGGTAGAATATCACAAATAACGTACGTTTCAGCCCGCTTCATCGGGTCCTTACAGAGGAATTATTATTGGGCTACAAAGTCAGTCGAGTAAAAAAAACAGAAAAGAGGACAAGCTTATTACAAAAACCAATTCTTCTATGATAAACTCCTTTGCATTTATTGGAAACTTTTTGAAAACTGGGACATGCTACGTTGCTTCACTTCACTTTTCTACTCTTGTTACCTTCAATGGGTCTCGCGTCTTTGTAATATGTTTAAACAGTTGCTGCCATGCACCTATCCTAGGTTCGAGTAAGTTAACTAGGGCCGTTCCACGCCAGTTGGTTCACGGAATAGCGATGGAGGCATTGTATATAACAACCTCTATCGTGGAGGTTTACTGGTAAATATGCGCCGGTATCAAACGGCATTGCCACTGTGAACAGTCCTTTTGAGGCCGCAAAACACATGTGCTGAGAGTCTTCCTGACTGTGTTTTTCTAGACCGGCTGAGCCAAAAAATTGTTTTTTTTTCAAGAAAGATATTTCTTCGTAGACATGTTTTACTTAAATGTTCATAAATACTTCCATTTCAAACCAATCAGGCACAGTCTGCTGTGAATCTAAAGGCACTGGACGTTTCTCGCGTGCGCCAACCAAAAGATGCTCAGTCCGTTGGTCATTTGCCAATGACCCCTCTGTCTAACCCAGGCGTCGAAAACGAACTCCCTCTTAGTTTTTGTCCAAGTGGCCTTCAACGCTCTCTGATTGACCTCGTGTGCCCGGGTGTGATGGATTTTCTACAACTGAAGGAAGACATCAAGCGAAAAATCGCTGTTGACTTTCAGGGCCACGTATACAGTGATTTTGCCACTGTAGCATCACCTTATGCCTATTTCTCCGAAACAGACTCACAGAGTGAAGATGTTCATTTGGTTGTTTGCGTTCATGGATTAGACGGTAAGTCACTAAATATGTATAGAAAATGTATGCTTTTGTACGTGGTACATATTTTTTGACGTGTTTCCGGATAAACTGATTTACCGCCCCATATGGTTTTTATTCGACAATGATGCATCACGTTTCACAAGCTGTCAGTCAGGATGCTTGAGTACCCGATTGTCCTCTTGGATTCATTGATATGATTCATTCTTGAAATGCAACCTTCTTGATACTTATTGTCCAAAGGTAGTTCAGAACTTGTACCCCCTTGTGGAATTTGAAGAAACACACTCTTGAGTATGCCTCGCCAATAACACAGTCGAGCAATATCTTGGCGGAAATCCCGTTTGTGTCTCGCTTATTCTGGCTTTCTCATATCAAACAGGTAATTCTTCTAGTGTCCCGGTTTGGTTTCCGTCTGTAAGCTTTGAAATGTCAACAAGTTGATGCACACTCAAACCGCCTACGAGCTGAGGCCTTAATCGAGTAAATGCTATAGGTTTAGTGTGGATGGTGGTGGGATCCACTCCTCTGCAACAGCCAATCAGTGAGGATCATTTGGAACTTGCCCAATCGTTTACGAATGAAGTTCTTGCTAAGCAATGCCTTGGCCAATGATATTGCCTTCATGACTGATGATAGTTGTATTCTGGCTGTTTTATTCACTTACGTCATTATGAGAGGTAGCAACATCAGTTTTGACATTGAAGCTTCACTGCCGTATCTTGTTATATTTAAAGGTTTAGCTTGAAAAAATGAGGACGTGGGCTCAGGGAGGGGACGTGATGCTTTCCTATCGCAAGTCTACGCCCCAAGCGCTCAGTCAGACAATCTGGGAAGAAGCTAACAAAATGAACGTCACTGACATCCACCAGCCGCCATTTCTTGTAATATCTCCAACCATGCGCATGAGCGTTCATTGGGATCCCATTCAAGAGGACGCACCACACTAACAACACCCAAACTCGTAAACTCTTTCACACTTCCCCGCTAAGTCATACGTTGTCCACTTCACGGTTTCCACCATTCTGAAAGAGAAGGACACTCGTCTCGCTAGACCTTGTTTCGGCACGTATCCGGACCATCGCAGTTGGTGATGCTGGATGTTTCCACGACTGAAGTAACCACACAACCAAATACCAGTTTTCTAATTATCTCGCTACGAATTCGTTGACGCCGTTCGATAATAGCAACGCTTCTGAAGCATTGGTGGTCAAAAGCCTGGAGACGCCTCACGTCGTCTGTCTGCAGAGACCATTTTTCGTAACCATACAACAATACAGCCCTTACTGCAGCCGGATACAAACGACCCTTGTGACCCAATGATGTCATGTTTTGACGCCATGAAGGACGCAAAGTAGCAAACGTGATTCGCACCTTTCAGCTTTGTACATTATCTTCATCAGGTACACTTCTATTGGAGCCTATACAACTACCGAGGTACTTTACCACCAAGCTTTTAAGATATTGTAGTGCTTGTCTCATTAGTTCATCGACGACGAAGTTAAACAAGAACGGAGAAAGTGGATATTCTATTGGGCACCACTTTTTATAAGAAAGCTCTGGAGGGTTCAACATACACTTTCACGCACCCAGAAGAATGTGAATACAGAGACCGGATTATGTTCACAAACTTCTGAGGCGTACCTCCTTGACTGGGATACTGCCAGAGCGCCCAGACAGGAAGACGATTAGGGTCCTCGACCAAGGCCTTTGACTCAAAAGCCTGACTACAAGGCAGAGGTGTTTGCTAGAAAATTTCCGTCGGGAGTGTCCACCCTCCATTCCTCTTCAACTCTGAGAGGACTTCAAAAGCCTGGGGTTCAAATAGCCTCAAACGAAAATCTTGTCGATCTGGAATGTACGGACTACATGGCCCTCGTCTTCGAAAAGGAGGAGAAGGCGCAAGTGTTTTTAGATGAACTGACGAAAATCATCCTGTCGTTTAGTATGCACTTTGCACCTACAAAGTGTAGGGTCATGCTCGTGGAAATGCAGTCACTAAACACGCCACTTACAATTCAGGGAGAGATAATGGAACTTGTGGAGCGTTTTACTTATCTTGGAATTTGTATTACTTCTGATTGTCGTGCGACAGATGAGTTCAATGCACAAATCTGCAAGGCTCGGACCGCGTTTGCTAATTGGAGACACCTATGGCGTCAAATTAGTGTATTCCTTAATCTGAGGGGGCGTGTGTACCAAGCTACAGTGCGGGCTGTTTTGTTGTATTGCTGTGAGACTTGGCCTGTTCGAGCAGCGGAAATGAGACATCTTCAGGTCTTCGGCAACCGTTGCCTCAGAACCATAGCTCATGTGGGTTGGTGTTGGTGAGTTTGTAACCGGACAATTAGAAGGCGAATGTTCGGTTGAATAATCCGTTTGGCACCAGAAGCTGCGTTGGTCATGTCACGTTTCATGGATGGCGAACTAGCGTTCGCCGAAGAGAGTGCTGTTTTGCGTGCCAAATTCGGAGTAGCGGATGCCGAGGATGGCCAACCTTTGACTTGGTAGAAGAGTATGAAGATTACAAAAATTCTGGTTGCTACTCGCTTTCTAGACTGGAGACCGCGAGATCCCCACTGCACCTGGTTGGATACACTGCAAAATAGGCCTGCTAATCTATGTCAATGTCTTCAGCTTCTATCCAGGTTGTTTGAATGAGTGTCTGGAGGTGCAGGTAACTCGTAATGATTGTGGTAAGTTGGCATTAAATCCCTTCTCTTTCCACCTTTATTCTTTTCACGACAACGTTTTCAAATAAACCGTGGTTATACTCTAGCGAAGCATGAATGTTAAACATTGATTTGCTCTCGACGATGATGATGATGAAACCGGTGAAACTGGTTGTGGATTGTCAAAGAGCTTTCGACAGCCTCATGTCAGTAGCTTGCTTATTCTGGCTTTCTCATATCAAACAGGTAATTCTTCTAGTGTCCCGGTTTGGTTTCCGTCTGTAAGCTTTGAAATGTCAACAAGTTGATGCACACTCAAACCGCCTACGAGCTGAGGCCTTAATCGAGTAAATGCTATAGGTTTAGTGTGGATGGTGGTGGGATCCACTCCTCTGCAACAGCCAATCAGTGAGGATCATTTGGAACTTGCCCAATCGTTTACGAATGAAGTTCTTGCTAAGCAATGCCTTGGCCAATGATATTGCCTTCATGACTGATGATAGTTGTATTCTGGCTGTTTTATTCACTTACGTCATTATGAGAGGTAGCAACATCAGTTTTGACATTGAAGCTTCACTGCCGTATCTTGTTATATTTAAAGGTTTAGCTTGAAAAAATGAGGACGTGGGCTCAGGGAGGGGACGTGATGCTTTCCTATCGCAAGTCTACGCCCCAAGCGCTCAGTCAGACAATCTGGGAAGAAGCTAACAAAATGAACGTCACTGACATCCACCAGCCGCCATTTCTTGTAATATCTCCAACCATGCGCATGAGCGTTCATTGGGATCCCATTCAAGAGGACGCACCACACTAACAACACCCAAACTCGTAAACTCTTTCACACTTCCCCGCTAAGTCATACGTTGTCCACTTCACGGTTTCCACCATTCTGAAAGAGAAGGACACTCGTCTCGCTAGACCTTGTTTCGGCACGTATCCGGACCATCGCAGTTGGTGATGCTGGATGTTTCCACGACTGAAGTAACCACACAACCAAATACCAGTTTTCTAATTATCTCGCTACGAATTCGTTGACGCCGTTCGATAATAGCAACGCTTCTGAAGCATTGGTGGTCAAAAGCCTGGAGACGCCTCACGTCGTCTGTCTGCAGAGACCATTTTTCGTAACCATACAACAATACAGCCCTTACTGCAGCCGGATACAAACGACCCTTGTGACCCAATGATGTCATGTTTTGACGCCATGAAGGACGCAAAGTAGCAAACGTGATTCGCACCTTTCAGCTTTGTACATTATCTTCATCAGGTACACTTCTATTGGAGCCTATACAACTACCGAGGTACTTTACCACCAAGCTTTTAAGATATTGTAGTGCTTGTCTCATTAGTTCATCGACGACGAAGTTAAACAAGAACGGAGAAAGTGGATATTCTATTGGGCACCACTTTTTATAAGAAAGCTCTGGAGGGTTCAACATACACTTTCACGCACCCAGAAGAATGTGAATACAGAGACCGGATTATGTTCACAAACTTCTGAGGCGTACCTCCTTGACTGGGATACTGCCAGAGCGCCCAGACAGGAAGACGATTAGGGTCCTCGACCAAGGCCTTTGACTCAAAAGCCTGACTACAAGGCAGAGGTGTTTGCTAGAAAATTTCCGTCGGGAGTGTCCACCTCCCATTCCTCTTCAACTCTGAGAGGACTTCAAAAGCCTGGGGTTCAAATAGCCTCAAACGAAAATCTTGTCGATCTGGAATTACGGACTACCATGGCCCTCGTCTTCGAAAAGGAGGAGAAGGCGCAAGTGTTTTTAGATGAACTGACGAAAATCATCCTGTCGTTTAGTATGCACTTTGCACCTACAAAGTGTAGGGTCATGCTCGTGGAAATGCAGTCACTAAACACGCCACTTACAATTCAGGGAGAGATAATGGAACTTGTGGAGCGTTTTACTTATCTTGGAATTTGTATTACTTCTGATTGTCGTGCGACAGATGAGTTCAATGCACAAATCTGCAAGGCTCGGACCGCGTTTGCTAATTGGAGACACCTATGGCGTCAAATTAGTGTATTCCTTAATCTGAGGGGGCGTGTGTACCAAGCTACAGTGCGGGCTGTTTTGTTGTATTGCTGTGAGACTTGGCCTGTTCGAGCAGCGGAAATGAGACATCTTCAGGTCTTCGGCAACCGTTGCCTCAGAACCATAGCTCATGTGGGTTGGTGTTGGTGAGTTTGTAACCGGACAATTAGAAGGCGAATGTTCGGTTGAATAATCCGTTTGGCACCAGAAGCTGCGTTGGTCATGTCACGTTTCATGGATGGCGAACTAGCGTTCGCCGAAGAGAGTGCTGTTTTGCGTGCCAAATTCGGAGTAGCGGATGCCGAGGATGGCCAACCTTTGACTTGGTAGAAGAGTATGAAGATTACAAAAATTCTGGTTGCTACTCGCTTTCTAGACTGGAGACCGCGAGATCCCCACTGCACCTGGTTGGATACACTGCAAAATAGGCCTGCTAATCTATGTCAATGTCTTCAGCTTCTATCCAGGTTGTTTGAATGAGTGTCTGGAGGTGCAGGTAACTCGTAATGATTGTGGTAAGTTGGCATTAAATCCCTTCTCTTTCCACCTTTATTCTTTTCACGACAACGTTTTCAAATAAACCGTGGTTATACTCTAGCGAAGCATGAATGTTAAACATTGATTTGCTCTCGACGATGATGATGATGAAACCGGTGAAACTGGTTGTGGATTGTCAAAGAGCTTTCGACAGCCTCATGTCAGTAGCTTTGTGTTCGAAGAAATACTTTGATATGCTGAATGTTGTTTCGGCTGCAACACGGGATGGCCTTCGTGCAGCGTATTCAGTTGGAGATAATCGGAAATGAACTGGTCTCACGTTAACACCAAGTTACTTTGGTGTTCACGCTCCAACTTCATGGGCCGCAAGTGATGCAAAGCCGACAGTGGGTCGTTCCAGAGTTTTCAAATGTCCCGTGAAGATAATATTTGCCCAGGTAACAATACGGATGTTTCGATCACTGAATTGTTGGACAGTTACGACGTGGGTTACATCATTTTGTCCATTTCGCTTTGAAGCAACCTGACCGAACGACTACACTTTCGAAGTATTTGATGTTCGTTCCAATGCGCGATTTTCTATCTTCTGAAAATTATTGTGGCTTGGAGACTTGTTTCTTTCGTGCGTCCATGTCATTTCCTCTTGCGATGCGATTCGTAAATCACAGCCATTTTAGTGATTTCCGCTTTGTCGTTTGTTTCATTTCGGTACCTGAATTTTGTTGGTCAGTATAATCGGAATATGTTCATCGTTGTCATGGTACCCAGTCACTGCCTGTGCGTCTCCGTATTTGTGAACCTAGTACCATATTCTTCCCTACCTATCTTCACTTCCCTCAGGAAACGCCAGTGATTTACGTTTGGTCCGAGTTTACTTACAACTGGCTCTCCCCGAATGTCGTCTGGAATTTCTCATGTCTGAGTGCAATCAGCAGGACACATTCGGTAGTTTTGATTCAATGCGCGATAATCTGGTTGATGAAGTGATTGATTTCATCCGTGAACTGGGTGAACCACCAACTCGAATCAGGTCAGTGCTGCTTCCCATCCTCTCGAACCAGCTCAATCGATTACCATTGTCATTTTTGTCGTGTTTCAGTAAAGTGATTTAAAGTAAGATGACTACAGCCTTCTATCCTAGACTGTCACAGCGTCTTTCCCTTCCAGACACGATCTGGTTCTTGACTCCATACCCTGAAGAGAGCAAACCTCACAGAAGAAGCCATGTGCCTCCGTAATTGTCCATCTATGAGGAATTACTGTTTTCGTATATGATGCGCTTGAAGATTCCCCCAGTAAATTAACTGCACAAAAGTTGTTTCATTCACTGAAAATTTATAATATCTCAGATAATGGCTTATTGTTTCGCTGCTCACACGTACCGAAAAGACGCCTTCAATTATGTTGGAGCATTTTGCTCTCCCAAGAAGATTCAGAATACCGGGCCTCTCGAATGGATAAAATCTGATTACTGTCACCCAGCTATTGGCGTGTTTTTGCCTCAGACTGTTGTCCCACACGAAGCAACCCGCTTTGTATATAACTGCATGAATTTTTTACATGAATCGACTGATCCGGCTAATCGACTGCATCGAGTTAACCCATCTCAAACACACCAAACGATTCCTCACTGTTCGGAAAAAGCGTTCTTAAGTATACATAAAGCCAAGATAATCACATGCCAGTAACGTAACACTGGTCGTCGTTTGTGCTGATGTCTTTTTCCTCCGTTAACGATGAATTATCAAAGCCCCACTTGCATCACCCGACGTGGTAGGGTGTATAATACTGATAAAGCATGCCAGTAGTCTATGATCTGGTATCCAGGCTCTTTCCACGGAATCTGACGGAAGGCGAAGGTTACTACGGAAATTATGGGGCCACTTTGTAAGGTTCCTTTGTAGCTGTCTAATATTCAAAGAACCTGCAGGGTAGTTCAAGAGAACGCTTTAGAACGTTAATTTTTTAAAAATTCTGATGGCTTGTAACCGCTCGGCTCTTTTGATTATTATTATGTAACCGCATGGTTCTTGTTTGCTAATAAACAACTCCGCAGCGAAGGGCTTTTCCCCTTTCACTGGTGTTACTAGAATGACTGGGACGAAGCCACAAGCAAATGAGTGATTTGTGAATAATCAGTCCATCCGGTTGTTCGATAAAGTAATGGAGCTGACCGACGCAAAAAATAGGCTCACACCCTCAGTTAGTCCTCTGTGCGTCCGATCTGTTGCGAACGTCCTCGAGGAGTTTCCCCTTTTGGACCAGACTTGTTAAGCTGTGTTGTACTGTTGTCCCTGAGTACCTTATGGTGAAGGCTGTAGTAGGACATGCTTTAATTCATATATGCATAGGTTACCGTAGGATATATTCACTTATTTGTGGATTGAGCGGTACCTGTACTGGTCAATGGTGGTGAGTCGTTTTAGGCCATATGTGAGATCTCAGACAGACTAAACATAGGTAATTTGGATTGCCATATTCTCCTTAGACCTCCAGTTTTAAAGGTCTTCCATCGTTTCGCTTTTTGATCTCACATACAGTTTTATTGGACACAGCATGGGCTGTGTTTTGGTTCGAGCTGCTCTGCTCAGCCCATTGATGAAGCCCTATCTCCCCAAACTTTACACATTCTTATCTCTGAGTGGACCTCATCTGGGTACCGTGTACAATTCTTCCGGCCTCGTCAACATGGGCATGTGGGTTATGCAGAAGTGGAAGAAATCTGAGAGCCTTTCCCAACTGCGACTCCGGGACGATCCAGATCTGCGCCAAACCTATATGTACAAACTTAACGCCAGTGCTGGTTTGGATTTATTCCGCTACGTTCTACTAGTGAGCAGTCCACAAGATCGCTATGTGCCTTACCATTCCACACGAATCGAACTATGCCGTGCAGCAGTTCGAGACAGTTCTTCTTTAGGTAAGTGAACTTAAACGCTATTTGTTGATTTCTCTTAGTTACGAGTTGATGCTTTGTTCCTTGCATATTAATTTAGCGTGGGTCGGAGATTTAGACGGGCTTTTGCTGTGTAGTCTGTCTGTGCTGTTTTGAACCGGACATGCATCACGAGAGACCAATATCCAAAATAGTTGTTGCATCGGTAGCTTGGCGTAGGTGAACGAACTGCATTGCAAATTTTGCATCTCTCCTTGGCGGAGTGATAGTAGCGGTACACTGAGGATCATGAGGTGTAACGCGTTGATACGCACAGTATCATTTGTTGGTTGCGAGGTATGGCTGTTTCGTGCTTGCGAGTGCCGAAATTTTGTCATTTTTTACAATCATTCTGCGCATTCATATGACGATCAGTCCGAAGGCGAGTGGTTTGTTGATCAGTGAGATATTGCACGAGTTACCAGTATGACGTGTGTATGTATTGAACATATGATATGGAGATGGCACAAAGCCGTTGTAGGCCTCCATAGGAATGAATCAACCCAAATCCTAGCGAAATCCATTTGCAGTATTCGAACGCAAAATTCTTTTCGTGAGCTTCATTCTTCATATGTTTTCTTGCACGAAGATGACAGTTACCATGATAAACTCGTTAGATTTACACTTAAACCTACTGTCTACCACGCTGGTAATGGTTTGTCTAAACCTCCCCCGTAGAATTCTTGCACGAGTGAAGTCCAGAATACTCCCTCCGTTGATACACCCGGGTTCGTTTACTTGTTTATTGTTGTGTTGCCGTAATTCCCATCTCACCTCAGTCTGCTCGAAACCGTTACCCAATTCAGTTGGAGATTTAATCAAGGGTTGTTTTGTTGGTCAGCATGTAGCTGTATCGCAAAGGGAGATTGTGAGCCAATGTTTGACCACAGGAACGTGTGTAGTACGACAGTCTGTGAAGGAATACTGTATCTCACCTCTCTATCACATCACAACTTGTATGACATCTGTCAAATGTTTCCTCGGCAGGTATTGTGTACATGGAGATGGTTACGAACGTGTTGCAACGCCTAATCAAGTCTCAACGGACAACCGTTGTCCGCTACGATATTCACTATTCTTTGGGAACGTCTGCAAACAACCTCATCGGCCGCGCAGCACATATCGCCGTGTTGGACTCGGAGATATTTCTGGAGAAATTTATCTGTGTTTCAGCTGCCAAATATTTCCGATGACCTAGGGAAATTGCAGGCTGTGATGCACATCAAGTTCCCGGTGGTCAGCTTCGCCCGGTTGCTGGTAGGTTTGTGTGATCTCTCTATTTCTTCCTACTTCCACCTCGTGAATGGTTTCACTTCAAACTCAATTCTGATCTATTGCCGTAATAATATATGACTAACATATCCTTATGCGGAATTACGTTCTTCATTTATGTGAGTTTTGCCAGGAGCGAAAAACTCGTTCATCATGTGCAGTTGATAGGCTAGTTTCAGTGGAATTACTAAGTTTTTGGTTTGTCAACGTAATCTATGCCATCAGCAGTTAACCTTTCCACCTGCAAGCAAGTAAACTCTCGTGTGTAATATCGAAGCATGTGACTGGTATTTCGAATATGCCTACGGTTGGATATTGGATGTCAGTTTGCTGGAACTCCACCAATGTTAGTGCAATGAACAACCAGCAAGCGTTGAACGAATGATTACACTAATCGTAGGCTTCCACTGGTTCGTCACTTCTGCTGCGTAGAAAGCGTTTAGGTCTCACTGGTGTCGGCTCTGTTCTCGTTGTTGCTTGGCATGATTCGTTTTTTTTCAGCGGATCTTTTTTTATGTTAAACTTGAGTTACTGTGCATATCAAAGCATCATTCTACTCATTCACATCGGCTACTCATTGTTATCCCATTCCAATTTTCAGTACTCAAACGGCGATTCGTCCAGCTCGCTCTCCTCACCTAACCTCATGAGTTCGCAACTCACATCAAGAGCATTTTTCAGTCTCGCCCCTTTTGCTCTGATATTTTGCTTTTTTTTTAATTTTCCGAACTTTGTACGAGTGCTTTAATTTGTACTTGGACTCGGATGGCTTCTTTCCCTGTTTATTCTTTCATGCACGCCGACCTCTGTTTTTCCTGATGAACCACCCTTGTCGCTAGTCCACATTACACAGTTTATGCATCATTCTTTTCCGCGTGCACAGATAGACACACATTCATACCCCACACACGGTATTTCTACGTTTTTTGTATTTACTTAACCATTATTCATTTCTGTTTGATATCTTCACTGGTTTGCCGTTTCGTACTTATTTGGCTGTCTTGTCTCCGTCCATGTACTTACTCACTTCTCTTTGTTTATTCTTATATCTTATTTGATCAGTTCCACACAGCACTCTTTTGGTCCAAGTGGGAGTGTAAAGGTCCGTGTTTTTCAGATTACATCTTGCTCAACCCGTGTTCAAGATCCCTCTATTTGACGGGAGAAAATCAACGTTGTTAGGTCAGGGAGTTGTTATTTCTAAAACTGAGGTCCGAATAGATGGAATTTACCAACTCAATTATCGGGAGATTTCATGTTTTGGTGTTCAGCCGAATCTGGTATTGATGCGATGTGCCGTTCTGGTGTCATACTCTTTGAAATGTATGGTTTCCAGTTGGATCCTATTAGTTGACTCTGCGACCCTTCGGTCGATGCTTGGATCGCCCCTCATTCAGTCACACTCAGACTGCTGACTCGATGGTGTGCACGTACAAAAACATGCATCCACCAAGTTTGCCGCTATTGACCGACGTTTTTCGCACCACGGAGGTCAGCTCAGGTTGGACTGAATGTTCACCACACTTAACAATGCGTGGTTGGTTAAGTGCACTGATGTTGCCTTCTCGAACCAACCTTCGCTAAGCTTGGCGAATTGACCGTTTATGCACAATTCAGTGTAAGCTCGGAATAACTGAGCACCTGTTGGAAATAACGTAAATTTGAAACTCAGACTATGTGAACGCCACTTACTTGATCCATGGCATAAGAAGCCATGGCCTGTTGCTACCGGTTCGACTTAAATTTCTGATAGCGTAAATGTTAAGCGATAGACCTGGACTTGAAATTTATGTGAAGAACACAAATAAGTAATCTTACAACATCCCTCCGAGGAGAATAGTCTCAACATGTATGCATGCTGTGCTCGGTAAGCGTTTAGGAACTAAATTTCCCTAAAAGCACGTACGGCAGCTAAACGTGGAATGACAAAGAAAACACCTGATTTGTCAGCATCTACTGTCCGCAGGTGATAATTATCTGTTAAAAGAAGCTAGGACTTAGTGAAATGTACCCATTTGCAAATTGAGTTGGTGCTAACCGGAGATCCAACTGTACCCCTTTTTGTGATATTCATTTGAATGTGTTCCCGACGGATCTACCCGTGCTTCATTTGGTACTATTTACGAGGTATCGCAGTATGTTGACGGAACACACTACTCATAAGGCTGCTGAGAACTTCAGGCATAGCAGACTGGAAGTTTGTGTGCGGGTCGGATCACGTGACTTTTGAATTTGCTTATCTTTGCCTGTGGTATGTGTCAGTAGTTTCCCCGCTGAATGGTGCCTGCCGAGGGATGTTCCTATATCTAGAAGAGGTGCTCAACATTAGATCCACCTCTCTTGCAGACGGGGTATCATAGTGCATGGATGCCACTCGCTAAAACACGCTCGAATAGACCATGACCTTGAGAAGTGCACTTGAAATTCACTAGTTTGTCAGCTATAAACCATGTACCAACAGTACATTGGTTCCAGCTGCTACGGTTATGGTGTCCGGAAAAGGATGCGTGGGAGCTGCAGTCAAGCACTGGAGGCGATGGCGTGTTTAGCTAGTTCCTAAAACTGAAGACAATGCACGATCGCCACCGGGTGCGCCATTGAGCTGCCTCTCAATGTTGTTAACCATTAGTGAGTTGGGTACTGGGGTCCCCAGTTGGGAAGGCAGCCGACTGAATTTCCTGGTCGGTGGTTTCGCACTTCGCTACCATGTCATAGACGTTCCACTTCTCGGTTGCTTCCACTCAGCACAAGACTGGGTGAAAAGCGGCCTAAGAGGCAGATGGTCTTCTGACATTTTTGATCCATAAAGGGGTGTGGATAGTAACGCTGTAGTGTATACGCCGCCCTTGACAGAGACACTGACGTAATGTCAGCGCCATAGGTGTCCGATGTTGGTTAAAGTTACCATAGTGTTCAATTTTCGAAAATTAATCCCTTCTTCAACCGGTCAACAAGAGCTCATACAACTGTCCAGCTAAACAGATTATCTAGAAAGCCCATTGGCATGATGCTTGAGTTGGATCCCACCGAGTCTTGCAGATGTGAAGCTCATACAAACCGTACGGCAGTATTGGGTTATTTAAAATGGCTTGCATCTTTGAAAGATCTGAACCAAGGAGAGCAATATCGTTCAGATCCTCAATGTCTGAGTGAGGTCTGCCGGGGCATATTGATCCTCAAGTTTTCACAAGCTAACACAGAAAGGCTTCAAGCAGCACGTCAATAACACAGGGATGGTGATAGAAGGCAGCCTTGCCTCAAACCACCTGATGTGGTGAACTCAGGCAAAGGCTCACTGTATAGTCGTGTACGCAACAATGCTTAGCTGTGAATAATTCTGCGCCTGAAATTCGTATCATGGCTTGATACCATGTCCAGATTGTAGAGTGTATGAAGCTCATGCTTCGGGACGATAGAGGTTTTGCACTGCTGATGAGCTCTGATAAAAGCGAAACTATTGTCCGGACGCAGGAGCACTTTTGAAACAAAGTAATGTGAATACAAATTAGGTGGTTCGTGCGGCTACCTTCGTCCGACAAAACGCCTTCCTACATGTCTCAGAAGTGCGTGGTGCTAATTGACCGAAGAAGTCCTGACTGATTCGTCGGTCGGTTTATACAACCGTTACAACAACAACGCCGATGTTCAAGGTGCCCGATAGACTAATCACCTTTTGAGTCTGGACATTTTTGCCTACTCATGCGCGGTAACCCGGCTGCATCTTGCTTGTGCCGCCGGAGTGGTGGCACTATTATGTTGGTTTCCAGATACTCAGGGTTCAGTCTCGGCAAGGCCGAACTGCGAAATATCAACTCCACTGCTATTTGATTCGATATGGGTCGAATGGAGAGGCTGCTTGAACAAAAACCACTGCCATTACGAATCAAATGACATTTCTGACTCAGTACAGCAGAAGTTGTCTTTCCGTGCATTTCATTTTTCCTCCCGTGGCCTATTTGATATTCTTTTCGAGTGTACTTTACGGGTTCGGAAATAACTGATTTGGAGTGGCAACCTAGAGTTGGTCTTCTGGGCTAGTTCGCCTGGTCAACAGAAGACCCAAGAACTGATGTTGATCTTCCTTCACAGGTTTTGGTTTAGTTGCAACTTCACCACACTGTTCGATGAACTTATACAGATGCCCCGAATTAGTTCAGACTCATAGTATTCAGGCTTAGCACCATCCCCGTTTTTGCGTCCACCGGTCACCCAAACGACTATAACTCCGGGAGACATTGGTTATGCGATAATATGGTTTATTTTTGTGAGTTAAGTCCTTGTACAACAAGCGTATTGCGCAGGTTGATGAAATTCTCCACACATGCTTTTTGATCGTCCTGGTTGGGCAGGGTGTTTACTAACTATTTCTGACACTTACATCCAGCCATCTCTTCGTACAGCCATCTTGAACAGCTGCTACTTGTCGCACTGGAAGGGGGTTTGCATTTTGAAGAAGCATGTGTGTTTTGTTTTACCTCTGATCAACTCTCCAGATATCTCACGCCTTATAAGCTGAGGTGAGACCATGAACAAGATAAGGCGCTAGCCATCTACGAGGACAAGCACTAGCTGGGTAGTGACCAACTGACCTGTACTTTGAGCAGCTCCAGAGTTCGGCGAGCTACTTCTGAATCATTACAGGTAGTTGATCATCCATCATGTAAGTAGCGTATTTTATCAATGATTGATTGTGACGCAGTACCAGCATCTTGACTGGCCCTATAAAAAACAGAAAGCAACAGTCCGGATGATTGTTTGGTTTTGATGCGGGTGTGTCTTTGGAATCAAGGTAATCCACTTTTTTGTCTTGAAATTTCCGCGCTACAGAAATTCTTCAGCAACTAAGCACGATACAGTCTCCTAACAGAAACAATCGAACTAATAGACAGCTTCATCTGCAGCATGGTCCTCATTTTTCTGGACAGCTAAGATGAAGGGGATCAAATTTTACTCGTCCAAAGCAAACCAAGACTCATTCACTGCTTGGGATTAAAGCTCTTCTATCCTTGTTAACAGCGGAGTGCACTTCTCAGGGCGATGAGACCAACTACCTTGCGTCTAATATTCGGGCATTACACTATTTAACCACGAGTGGCTAATCGGTAATATTTGTGCGTCATAGCAGAGAGGGGTCAGATAACGTAGTGACTGCATACTCGCTGTTAGTGTGAGCAAGTCCAAAAAGAGGTGGGTGAGCAATAAAGTGAAGCTTCAGGTGCCCTGAGGAAATGATTTGTTTTCTCTTCGTTTGTATCAGCGGCTTGTCCAGTCGGAAGAGAAGTGCGTGAGAGTTGGTACAACTTTATATTCCTTGTAAAAAGTGGACAATATATTCAGTAACTTGCCTTGGTTGTTTTGATTTCCACGTGGAATATTATATTTTCCAGAAACCACTGTTTGATTCCAGCATAGTTTCGGGAGAAATCTCCAAACATCCTCAAAGTGAAAAAAACAGTTTTGGGTGTTCTTGAATGGCGTTCTACGCAGCAGTCATTTTCGGCTACAGGGTACTTCGGCAGATTGTTGTTAGGGGGCGAAATCGCCACGCGTGTTCCGTCCACAACTTTTGCCGCAATACTGCCTGCTCTTTATCGCATGAGTTGGGGAAGACTGGGCACGAAACCAGCGTCACGGCATCCAGAGCTTGTACCTCAAATTGGTGGGGCGATAGCTGAACACAAGTTACAACAGGTTTTCTGAGAAGTGAATGGATCTAAGACAGTAACAGTAGTAGCAACCTAACGAACATTAAGCTTATCTATTCATAAACTGGGCATCTCACGTTCACATTACTTACGTTTAAGCAATCTTCTCTCTGCCCCACTCAACTGGGATGACAACAACCAGTCAACCACCGTATCGCCAAACTACCCGCGTACCTCGGCCTCTGATTAGACATCATTCCGTTGAACTGAGGAAAGTGGACGCCCTTATATCTACGCCTGCACAGGGGAGATGTCGTGTTAAAATGGTAAAATAATGGTTTGGCCGTTGTGCCCTTCTATTGCATAGCGGCCATCTCACCCGAAGAAAGCACAAGGGTCGAGATACTGCCAGGTTGCCCAGGTCTAAACAGGAGCAGCCAAGATGTCGAGGTAAGGTTCGAAACACGGATCTTGTGATGAGTAATTTTTCGCCTTAACCACTGAACCATCTTGAGGTCTGTCGTATTACACTTGTGAACAAAAATCCGTTGGTCAATATTGCAATGTAGCTTTCATCCATGTTTGTAGAGCGGCACTTAGTGATAACTTTCCAATCCTATCCACTGTCCCTGATGCACGTAAATTACTGAGTTGAAATGTTAGCCACCATTGTTTAGCCGTAACACAGGGCTTTTTCCACTGTACTTGAAACACTACTAACCTGGGGCTGTTCTAAGAAAAAAGAAGTTGATGCACCAATGCTCAAGCCCTTTTGCATTTCGAACCTCGTACAAAAAGACCCATAATCAGATCGCTGATTCAGTAAATGAAAACAGAACTGGATGGCTTGGAACATGCAGCAGTATACGGTCGTGAAATGTTCTGTATTGGCCATCCAGATGGTTGTTGGTATCATACTGCTGTTTCTACAAGAGCCGGTTGATAATTTACTGCCGCTTTGAGCGCTTCTGCGAAGTTACAAATACATTATCCCGATCGTTTCGCTAGGCTGTATGGAGGCCGCAGTAAGACAACTGATTTTACTAAATGCTCGCCTTAGTTGAGGGTACACAACTCCTCTCGCAAACTGTTAATAAGTAAACACTGATCGCAGTTAATAACAGTACAATGGCTGCAGTTTCGGTGCCAAACATGCACCGACTATCTTACAGCTAGTAAGGAACAAAATGCATTTCGCGCTGTTCTTCGCTCTGTCACTTGACCAGTTTAATTGTGCTGAGCGTTGCAGCAGATGATCTCATGCGATCCTCCAGTCGGACAAAAAACAGCGGACTAAGGCCCTGTGCAGAAAAACACTCCTTTATGATGCACTTCGTCTGTTATTTAGGTTCCATTACTGGTAACGTAGGTGGACTAGGTCAGGGCTGAAATGAACATACCAACTCCCGCCAATTTGGATTGCTGAATACTTTCGGATTCGTCTGTTGCCTCATTTGCTGAGTTACAATACCTCTGGGTTATGACTGACGCACATCTTACGTCATCTTTTAACTACGGTAGTGCATTGTCGTGTGAAATACCTCAACAAAAATATCCACAATTAGGACGGAGGGCTTGCGTCAGTCTCAAACCCGCGGCGAAATGAAGCACTTTTCTGAACCTTTTCGTCATTTACCCCTCTCTGTTCAAGCACGTGCTAGAGTAACTAATGCCTCACCCTTACTAAGAGAGGATTCTGCAAGACTGAAAAAATGACAATCTATCACACAGAAGCTTCCCTTTGAGAGGCGATTAAGTATGAAATGACTTGCGTTCTCCCATTCAATCCCGAATGTTACAGAATTTTGGCTGCTTCTCAAAATGTTAAGCGTTTATTACTGGACATTGCCTGTATTACCGGCAGCCTGATCGCGAATAATGCCTGCTTACATTGTGTTAAATTTTTTCGTGGTATGAATCTCCTGGTGGTGAACGATGCTTAATGCCTTATTTATTTGAGTATTTCGTCACACACTCTGTTGACCACTAGTCTTACTCAATTGATATGTATCGTACTCTTACCTTAAATCAGTTCTAGCGGAAGCCCAGGTTATAATGACACTGTGTTTTGTTGCTCAGTATTGGTGAGCTCATTGATCATCTAATTAATGTGTAGCTCCCCGATATTCCGTCGCGAGATTGTACGGAGGAGTGCAAAGAAGGCAACAGTTTCGATTAGAATCCTTTCAGGTAGAATTAGTCTGCCTCATAGAATATGGAGGTGCCAAGCTAAAAAGACCGTCCACGCCTTAATTTACTTTTTGAACACTGTTGAATCAAAGGTTGTCCAGGTCAGCGAACCGGCCGTGACCCCACCGCACACCTTCAGCCAGAACCGAGTTACTCTATTGAAGACCAGTCCGCTTCAGAGACAATGAGGCAATTTAGTCTCAGTGACAGCATTGAACCCATACTTACCTAGGAGTGCTGGGATGTTCTGCTATCATGGGTAGGGTAAAAGCCTTTGGAACAAGTCTCCAGTTGAATACCGAAAACGGATTGCGAGGTACAGGCTCACTGGCCCATTGGCGCTGGGTATGGTGGTCGAATGTACCAACAGATTAATGCGGATGATGTTTTGGGTACGATTACTGGATTCATAGAATGCGTGCTCATATCACTCTCGTTTAAAGAGTCGCCCTCTCGTCCTGGCGAAATCATTCTCCTGAGTCCACAGTAGAGGAAAGTAGAACTGGACTCGAGTTTCGCTCTTATTAGAGCTCATCAGCACTGCATACCCTCGGCCGTGCCGGAGTTTGAGCTCCTCACGTTTGACACGCGAGTCGAGAATGTTACCACTAATTCACCAGCTCAAGCTGGACGCATTTGAATTTTTTGTCTCAACAGGTGAACTTGTTCGCGCTTGAGTGGTGAGTGCTAAGTTCGACGCCTCGAACGGTAACATATATTGGTTCTGTCGATCAATTGGCCTGCCTGTCTAGACTTCCTAGCGCCACAGACGCTCAGTAGGTGAAGCTTGCCGGTTATTGTACATTGGCTGAAAATATACTGAATGTCAAGTCGGTATCTAAATTACAACCTGCCGTTTCATGACCAAATGCATAGGTCATCAAGAATGCAAGTATAAGGGAATAGCAAGGGCACTTCACAAGTGACACGGTGGCAACCGTTACGCAGGCTGGTAAGTTAGCCCCGTTATGGGCAAGTCGGGACTAACTGGCTGATTAGTTAGAAAGAACAGTTACCTAGGAAGTAGCTCGTCCCCCACTGCTAACTGAATGTACCGAACCAGACCCCCTAGGGGACTGCGTCTACCTGATGAGCCTCAAGAAAGGCGGAACCGGTCGTCGGCTGTCGATGAGTTACTAGCAAATCTATGAGGAGTGTATTACGTCTATACGAAGTTTAGAGCCATTCACAACTTTCTCCCAAATTCACCTGAGCATCTGCCCATATTAGTCTTTTGTGTATTAGCGTTCATTTGAGAAAATCCTTTCAGCACTGTGCGTTCGAACGACCAACATCATTACTGAAATATTAATTCAATACCCACTTGAAGGTTTTATTGAATGTATGAGGGCGTCACTGGAGCTTCACAGGGGATGCATCAACTGGAGTAAGGCGCCGAAGCCGCAGTCACCGCACACTAACAAGTAGCATGACAGCTACGTCCTGTATTCTTAGCCGTATGCATTACATTCATTGGACATTGAGATTCATTCTCACTCATTGGAGCGTTTACAAGGTCGCACGTAACCTATCCGTGGCCTGAGAGATGTCCACTTATGAGCACACACAACCAAGTCGTTTGTGAGGATGCAGTTTAAACCCCGTTGTGACGACGCCTACAGATAGACGCGAATTCAAATGTACGCGATGAAAGCACCCTTCATCACTGAAACAAACCAACTGTCACACTCAACCCGCCGAAATCACCGGCGAACGTAACTGCGGCAGCTGTAACCACTGTACAACAAGTACGCGGTTTTCATAAATGCTAGTAACGAGGCTAATAATGATGAACTTAGTCGTGTTTGGGGCAGTTACGCCGAAGGCTAAAAGTGCACTTTTGCAGTGTTGACCCATCATGCTGACCGAACATCTCTTCCTATACTGATTGAATCTACAACCGGTAGCCAATCGGCTGCAGTGTGTTTGCCTGGCTGATTTTTTTCCTCCCAGTAAACACTTGGATGGAATTTCCGACATGCTTGAAAACTTCTTCACTGTGTCAGGACGCACCCGGACATAGAAAAAGTACATGTGCAGAGAGTGACGCATCGCCAAGATCACCATCGCTACGACACGTCCGGAAAGCAGGTGCGTTGGCGGAGCCCACCAAACATGGCTTAGCAACATAAGACCAGTAGAGTGGGGCTGAAATTGTTCACGACCGGAACACCGCCATTGGCTGTACAGAACTAACAAGTGAACGACCATAGTTGGCCACTTAGTTATCCTATATATTTACGCAGACGCTCTGTATGCTTTGTCCCGACAATACGACCGTACTGAGTTCTCTGTCTTCGCGTAGTCTGGCAGGCTCAGTGAAGGCGTAACCAATAGACGGCCACCCACGATAAAACACTATGACACCCGTCTTTTTGTGATCGTCGGTTCTTGCTATACAGGCCAACAAATTAAGGCATTCCATCGGAAAGCAGCTGGAATAAATAAAACATTCCAAGTGCACCATGTACAACGTTTAGTTTCGGTCATGTAAGATGTTTTTCAGATTACGAAATTTTTAACCTTGAGAGGGGACTATTCCAGGCCGGATGGTTGATTATTTTGGGACTGGAATCACAACGAAAAGTGCGCGAAGCAACTACAGAGATATTGACATTTGAATCATGATTATCAATTTCGTCTTATCTATTAACTTGGTAGTGAAACTCTCATCAGAGGGAACTTCAAAGAATTCATTATTGAGTATCACAAGAGACAAATCGGTCACAGATTTATTGACCCAACAGTTTGAACAGCCTGATGAGTAAAAGTAGTGCGGCATGATATAACATGCCAATCGATAATCTCAAAGCTGAAGGAAGGTGAAAAACTAACATCGATCAGATAACTGGCAGAACTTGGAGTGAACATAAACTTGGTCTTTTGTGGTAATGCCACAGAAGTATTGGCGAAGTTGCATTTACAGCCTGTAAGCAGTTCGTAAAACCAAATCGAAATGAGCGTCATTGTCGATCGATGCACTAAGAGCGGCATAGTAACTGAGGAACTCGCCTTTGTCAAGCTGTTTAGGAATAGAAAGAAGATATACGAAGTTATTTCGTTTTGTAACTATCGCGTAGCTGGATTTAGAATTTTTCACCGGATTTTATGGAAGCATTAAAATACACACAACACAGAGGTGAAATGCAAGGGTACTGTGCATATAACCGCACCACCCAACAACGATACGCGATAATATGTAAACATGACTTCAATGCTAATCATTGCAAAAAACAGTCAAAAAAATCCAGATCAACGTTACATCATGAAGCTAATTCTTTCTTACCCCAATTAACTCTTTGAACGTGAGCTTGTCGCCACAGTTCGGAGTTTATCTTTCTGAGCTGTACGGCGAACATGTTTTCCCATTTCTTTCTCCGATCCACAGACGCCGCTTTAACAAACAAATATTGGCATGCAAGCTCGGTTTCCGGGCCACTCCATTCCGACGCTTATTGGGCTATAGAAGCACACTGCCTTTAACTGGTTTGGTTTTCCAAAATGCTGTTGAACAAACCCGAAATGGAGTCCCATTGGATGTTATGTACCTTACAAACTGCTTGAGACCCTAGGTATACGGAGCTCCGGTCTACCTATACCACGTTCCTTACCATAACAAGACAATTGTATCATCCACTTATGGTGCAGTGGTGTAGATCCCAAAAAACATCAGGGCTTTTCAAAACTGCCTGGTCGTCCGAGCTCAAAAAAAGCTTGAGAGGTTTTGACTATAAGCTCAAATCAAGACTGTCCTGCACTCCATCAACTTTCGGCAACTCCGAGAGCTTCAAATCACTTTGGAATAGCTCTGTTCACACAACATCTTCGGCTTTATGGGTACCACAAGGTTTGTAACTCTCTCGGAATACTAATGTGCTCCCTACTTTTGTCTGTTACATGGTATAACCAGTGATTTTCCATGATATTCATCAAAACAGTTGATGCGTTACACGGAAGCTGCAGTAATTACTTTCAACTCTTTGATCAAAAGTTGGGTAAATAGCTGAGTCGCATTTGCTGGTTTTTGGGGCTATGGAATCACCTTACGGTTACGTCTCACCAAAATGTTTTCGCTGGCTGTCTGAAAAAATGTCCACCCTAATGGGGGCAGAATCCCGAGAGAACAATAACAGAAAAGATGTCGGACGTTCACCGTCTGCCATTCGGAAAGTTTTTTCATGGGAATACCCTTTTGTTATGCAGTAAATTCGCAATGGTGGTACCTTGAATCAACCGGAATAGTTGTCTCTTTACTGTGTCTAGAATGCTTTGAGGCTCATTTTGCACTCTCAGATCTTGCGTTTTCGCACTTCAGTCAAAAAAATCTAACTATTCAAATTGAATAACGTATTCTTCTATGGAACACGTGATCAGATTTGGCTAGATATCAGATGACTATTGACCGCAGCAAAACTCACCTGATCAGAAAACGTTTGTCACACTAAAAATCTGATGTTCACTACGTACCAGGACAATTGATGGGATTGGACACAACAACTTCACTACTAACAACACGTGTATCACTTCCAAGCACGAAACGAGAAAAAACTGCTTGGTTTTTTTCGTTTACTCAGTATCCCAAGCGAGTGCAAAAAATGTGTGCTGAAAAACACAAAGTGCTTTGTGCGCCTTATTCTGAGAGCTGTTATGATTATTTACTAGTTTCATGCATTGTATCAATAATGAAGGATGGGATGGGAAACCAAGCTGGTCAAATGGAGGCAATCTACAGCAAAGGTAACAACACAAAGCACTAAATTGTGTGGTAATCAGCAAATTCGGTTGTGACTTTCTTACGCTAAATCTGATCATAGCCGGAAGGCATTCCGCAACATCAAGTCAAAATAAGCATCATTATCGATCGATGCACTGAGGCCGCTGTAATAGTTCATGAATTCCTCTTTGGTCACCTGTTAGAAAAGCCGAGGACATAACGTGGACCATGAAAGCAAACCAGTAGTACTGCATTTGACTAGAGATGGCCAGGTGTCAGAATATTCAACAAATCGGGGTAAAGTTACGTGAGGTTTTAACAGGTTCTTCTTAGATTCACCTGGTTTTACTTGGTTTGGCCATGCTGTTTTGGGTTCCATCTGAGCATTCTTGCTCAATCCGCATGCAGATGGAACAGACTCATTGCCCTGAGATCAAAAGTTGGAGGTAAGCTTTATGTTGTTCACTACGAACATATTTGACACACATACGTATCGATTGGCAGTACAACTAAGTTTCAAAGCTTTGAATTATGCTAGACCTGTCGTTGTGCTATTTTGTTATGCCCTAGTGAGTAGCGAAAAGAATAAATAAAAACCATAAACAAGAGGTATCAAACCTGCAAATCGTTTCGATAAACCTAGTTAACAATCGGTAGATTTGTTACCGGACAACGTTTCGCTTTTGACACTAAGGCTTCGTCAGGCCAAGTGACTAGGTTACGAGGTTGGTCAAGATTTAAGGCGGAAGGACAATCAATCAGCTAAGTCAAGCCAAATCTCCGTTAGGTGTCTTGAACCGAACTAGAAGAACTAGACCCTAGGGTGAACCCAAATTCATGTAGGTTCCCCCATCGGCCTAACACTAGATCACCCACCCTAATGCACAAAATCACTTGGCTGACACCTAACAGCTTGAGTTAGCTGACTGGTTCTCCTTCTGCCTTAAATCTCAGAGTATCTCGTAACCTAGTCACTTGACCTGACGAAGCTTTTGTGTCAAAGGCGAAACGTTCACCATTATTAAATCTACCGATTGTAACCAACCTTTTCCAAAAACGATGACTACTCAAACGGTTCCAAACGTTTTCTCGCCTGACTGAACAGACCTGCAGGTCATTTTGTGGGCAGCCCAGTTCTGGAAGGATTGTCTTTATTCTGTAACAGTTTGACTGCTTTCCTCGCAGGTGTTCTACACTTATATGACAACCTGTCCAATGTACTGCGATCCTTCCATACGTGAAACATACTCGACATTAAACAATGTTTTTGACTTGGGTAATACTGTTTAATAGGTGTTATTTACCGGTGTGTTTTTACCTAATCTATCGGCAAGTGAAAATAAAAAGCTAACTCAACTGTGACTCAGTCCCACCGCACGATTAAGCGTCACTTTTTCACCATAACGTTTTTATTGCCACAGTCTTCCAAGATAATTTTCAGTAACATTTCGCCATAATTTTGTTCAACTGTTTGGTTGATAACGGAGCAAAAGCCTTGCAGTCCGGAAATGGCGTTGAATTTGAGAATAGGAACCCTTTGTTCGTTTAGTACAAGCCGGTGCATGAGTTTTTGAGAGCCACTAAATTACTACCCATCACAAAAGTGTGGTGAAAAATTCCCACACGGACTAGCGAAAAGTGAGTCGCGTCCAGGACATGAACGTAGTTAAATGCAGCAGTTGGGCCATCCTAAGAATTCTTAGCACAGCGCTTGAATGATTACATTGCTTGTAACGAACACAGGTTTACCGTGATTGTCGATTTACAGCGGATATCGATTTGTAGGTGATTTGCAGGATTCATCGATCCACTGTTGCAAGTCTACTTAAAAATTGCAAAGAAGCGCACCACAAAAGAAAATCTTAATAACGGACGGATCACAAGACACCGGTCGAACGGAAGACATTGAATACTCCCCCCCACTGGGACTATCCCGGCTAATTCACAGCTCGTTGCTAGGTAACAGGCCATCTTTACCTCATCCCCGCTGTTATTCGCTCCAACTCACAGGTGATTGCCTTGGGAACGCCGTCGCGCCTGCACAACCTTGAACTTTGACATGAGAATGTACACTTCGATCTTCAGGTGAAGACGAAGCATGCTTCAAACTGCACATCGCCTAAACAACGTCCTGCTGTCCCGATGCACCACTGGTTTGTCCTTCTCAAAGAACTATACGACTCAAATCAGTCTGTATTTTTTCATGTTTCCTCTGAAGATGCACAGCCCCAATTGACTACGGTCAAATCAAATTTTACGGATCGGAATATGTTCTCACCACCAAACGGGTGCTCGAATCTGCTACCGCTCGTGCGCGGTAAGCAGGAGAATAGACTGTCAGCAACTTATCAGTGAATTTGACTTCACTTGGTCTGCCCAATTTTCTCGTCCCAAAACGCGGTTGAAGTTTTTTTCTCACTTAAGGATCCGAGTTTTTTTTACCACAGTGAAAGAAGCGTGAAACTCCGTGCACTCTAACGTATACAGAATAATTATACATGCGGTAAGCACGAAAAAAAGGAAAGTTTCATACGAAGTGACTGGTATGATTGAAACGCATAGGAATCCTACTGGAATTCAGTGCCTCTAGTCTAACGAAACGCGAGCTTAGTATCTACGTCAATTAGTGTGGATAAACCAGAATAACTGCACTACGACGGGGAATTGGCTGTTCAGATGAGAGCGTCAGTCGAAACTGTCGGTAGTAGCACTATCTCCAACTATCGCTTTGGTAAACAAGGTTTTTGTCGTATGTGGGTGACTTTCAGGGCACTGACGATTGTAAGATATGTACACTAATCAATATAATGGGAAGCACAGCCCAAGATCGCTTGCTGGGTTCATACGCACATCATTCATAGCTCTATCCTTCATGCAGTGCGATCAGAGGTGGAGAGTTACTTCGGATGTGAAATGTTATTTGAAGTAGCTGGGAATGCGCTCATTGTACTATCTCACTTTCAAGTCCACAGCACTTAAAAAGATACTCCACATCTGGAAAAAGTAAACGCTGGGATAAAAGCGATAAATAACTAATGTTTCAACTGACCATCTGTAAAAGGAAAGTAATGTTTCGATCAGATCCCCACTCTTGGTTGATGGACACCCGGATAGACCGACATTACAAAATACAATTCGGTTTATAAGCTACCAAAGGCGATGAATCAAAACAGTCATCTTCAATACGTGCCCTATCCCAATCCTCAGTTTATCGAAGACTTACAGTAACTCGACATCAGTTATTTGGACTGGCCGTCATCTTCAGAGCATAGTTGTTCATCCGTCATCCTTTTGTTATTTGGTAGAAGAAACTATGGTAGATCTACATATTCTAATTTATGGCCATTAACCGAAATGGGCCGGCGCTTTGGGCAGCGCTATAATGATCAGAAATATATCGTTTCAAAGAGGTTTGTTAAACAACCGGTGGATTTACCAAACCTCTCTGAAACTATCCAATAGGTCCCAAACGCTCTTGAATTGACTGAGAACGGTGATATAGTTTTAAAACTTTCTGATCAATACATACTTACAAAATCCATCCCAGTACGTAGGAGAAACTTCTCCATCTCTGAGCACAACTTTGTCTTACACAACAGCAGAATTGCACTAATATCATCCAGTACAAACTTGCCGCTTGGAAATTTGTGGTATTGGCAGAAGCTAGGCGATCTTGTAGATCTTGAAACGCGAACCACATGTGTATGCGGTGGGAACGAAAATATGCTTTATTGTACCTCACCACGGTGCGAGTCGTTTCGATCCCACTGCATGTTCTTGCGTTTTGCTTTTGAATATTCAGCAAACGGTTATTTTATGTTAGTTTGCACCAAAGTCCTTTGGGTATCTGGACGATATGAATACCCGGTCCAGTGTGGATATCACGCACACAACCCAAATGTCTCCCACAGACACCATATTTAAATCGATTAGGCAAATATATGGTTCGACAGTCACCGAAGCAATTAACCGCTCAGTTGGCAGGCCGTCCTTGCGGAAAATAGAAGATCGTCAATTTGCGGTTTCTTCTCAGTTGCGTTCGTTTTGTTCAAAATGGTTATGCTCGAAATTTGTGTTTGAAAATTCGTCAGATGGTAGCCATGAGGAATGTATGGAAGATGCTTTTTTTACATTAAGCTGATATGTACTCAAATGTATCAAAAGTAGTGAGCATATATGGAACATATATGGAGCATATATATACCAATAATGAAAAGCTGCAAGCTACTGCTGCAAGAAGGTTAGTTATTGTTAATTATGGAGCATATTACTGTGCATAGTTAGCGATAAGGTGAAAGAAGTCAACTGCAAGCAAATGATCATCACAAATTACGTGGATGAGCAAGCTATACACATCGAGTTAAAGTAACCAAGCTACATAAGCATTGATCATTTCCACCCAAACCAATCTAAAAATAGTTTTCTTACGTGAAGCGTTCACAATTTGTATGCAGTCCGCATCATCAAGTCGAAATAAGCATCGTTATCAATGGACGCACTCACTCCATTATAGTAATTGAAAAATTCCTCTTTTGTCACCTGTTCAGGAAAACCATGTAGTGTTTGAAGCCAAAAGTACATGTGTGAACCCCTTCGAGTTTAAAAACCAAGCGACAGTGTTTATAGAATTAAGAGCCTGAAACATTCTTCCGTATTTTGATGAGTCAGTGCCTACTCTCTTTGTCAGTATTTCGTTTCTGAGATGGCATCCTCCGATTGGAGGGCTTCTCGTCACGAAGAGACTGGACCTTACTGTGGTGTGACAGTTTGCGCACCTCAGCGGCTCATTGAGCTATACTGATGGGTGTCCCCGCGACACCCACAGGGTCTTTCATACCAGGTCGGTCAATGGGTAGAGGTATGAGGAACAGTCTCTTGTTCCTTCAGATTGGGGCTTAGGACATGTGGCGACTTGTTCCGTTGAAATGCTGATGCATCTGCATTTCTCACCAAAAATCTATTCCTTGCGGTTAGGCCTTTGAGCCAAAGGATTTGGCTGAGGACCCTAAAAATCCTCCTGTCTAGATGTGCGTGCCCTGACAGTAGCTTAGCCCACGTACAACCATGAACTGCACTGGCAGCAAAACATCGGTGTGGAGCGCTGATGTCATACTGTCGAGATGATGATGATGATGATGATGATGATGATGATGATGATAGAGGGTTTCAATTTTAACACCGGTGTCAAAGAAACGAACAGCGATCTCACAGCCTGCATATATGCCATGTTAAAGATGTCTGAATGAGTTCCCATAGGTAGAATAAAAATGACTGCCTTCCGAGAACGGACCAGCATACCGCCCAACGCTACGGAGGATTTCGTTACAGATTTGGCCTACTTGGCTGTTTTTTTATTTAAAATCAACGACATGATCTTATGTCTGTTGTTCCTGGATTCTTTTTGCAAAGATTTCAGCCAAAGTGTATGCTGCAGCTGCTTCCAAGGGGTAGAAGTGACCATGGTCTGATCAAGCTGACAGGAAACTACTTTATCCATCATAATCAATTTACGATTGGGTTACGATATGTAATATGACCGTTTTCCATCATTACAACCTCAAACCCACTCGAAATAACAAACTGGCCCAAAAATCCTGCAAGGTTATCTAAGTTACATTAGGTGCCGCTCATACTCTAAAAGGTCATGGTGTGCTATTCCCACGGCTTCCTGACTGACAGCATCAAGATACGCTTTGTAACCTGCCATTCCTCATCTCTATTGACGTTTCCTTATCCTGAGTCCCACACGCTGAAGAAGGAAGCTTTTGCGGTCCCGTAATTTTTCGGCTGTATTCAAAGAAATTTGAAGATTTATCCCTTCATATAGCGGGGTTGAAGCTGTTACCGTACCGCGAATTCCTATAATGAGGTTCACATATACTATGGATGCCACGACCCACTGTTTTGAGTGGGGTAAGATCTAGTGTCTACCAACAAGCCTATCAAAGCACGCGGCAAGCTGCGTCTCACTATCGAAGCCAATAAGCACGCTGACGCCTGCTCGAGCTAATCTTTCAAAATTCTCTCGGAAACTTTTGAACATTTTCTTCCAGTTTTGTCTGCAGTTGTTTTCGCATCTCACACCTAATCCAGATCAACCTGTCTCCTTACATTGAAACCTATCGTAAATTTGTGGCATGTAACCTGATGCTCCATTGGTAGTATACCTGTGTCACACATTCCACTATTTCAACTGTTTTTTAAGATCAAAGTATAATTTTCTAACCGTTGTGGCTGTCTCGCTTATGATCCAGCAACTTACCGTATCGTCGGCATTATCCGCTGGCTGAAACGTCTTCAAAAATTCAACAAAGATTTCATCCTCTGTCTTTTCACCATTAATATATTTTGGGTGATGTTTGCAATTGTACACACCCTTTAAATCGTCCACCTGGAAGGTAAAAGTACAGTGAAACGATTTCTTACCGGCAGGTTATAAAAAGTGGACAAATATTAAGCTCGCGTGAGCAGTTAATGCTCAAAGCATATCGGCCAGCACGAGACGGTTTCTAGTCCAGAAGAAGTTCTGCCTTTTGTCAACCTTGCGTGCGCAGTAATTTTCATCTGTCCCTAAACAGATGTGTTATATTGTGTCAAACGAGCACATTTTTTGGATACTTTAAGCTAATTACCGGGCTCCGGTCACTTTTACTGCTCAATGTGAACCCATGTTTGATCACTACATCTGTTCAGGCTCAGGAGGACGCAAATGCTTTTCTGGAATGGGGCAGCAAAACTCAAGTGGGTTTTTGTTTGCTGCCTCCTATCATCACAAAAGATGCTACGGGACAATTTATTTTAACCCCACATCATAGTTGTCGGAAATTAAATTCAGATTGCTTTGTTTTTCATTACACATGCACTCTCATACACTTCCTATCAAGCAAGTTCTTCAGAAAATCAAAACGCACATAAAAACTGAAGCTTTCACTGTTTTCTTCTTCACACCGGACAGGTATTACGTGCTTATACTTTAGAACGTCCAGTATATCCAGTTTTCCTACGGAACTCTCCTCGAAGTTCTGCTTCAAGCATACCAGTTAAAGCAATACACAGATCACTGCTTTTTCACCTAAGCTGCTTCTGTAGAGAAACTTCAGAGGAAAACTCTTGCAAATCGGTGGAAATCAAAGTGATGGTGACGCAAAAATCCACCCAGGTATTTTGTTAGGATTGGTCGCCGACAGCTGATTCTCTACACTTTGCCAATGAATCTTCCCACAAAGGACACTGAAACACAACCTAGGAACCTTTCAAATGAGAATCGTTCAACAGCTTTTTCAGCACCTGGATTTACTGATCAACAAATTAACGCCTTTCACACCCTGCTGACAGTCGTGTCCGCTTTCTGGTGTAGTTTATGGACAATGTGGCCCTCCATCGAATGTTGTTAGTGTACACTTTTACCACAGCGCACAAACATCGCCTGTCCGGCAGCTGCATTACATCTCATCAAACGTAAAAATGCCATCCTATCTAGAATTCCTGTGAATCCTAGATAACGGTTAAAAACATTTCGGGTACAAAACATTTGCGTTTTATCACTAGACAATGTCACAAAGATATGCGGTGTTCCGTTTGCTGGTTGCTTGTTGGCGTAGCAGCTGAAGCGTTAAAAATATCGAAACGCATCATTACAGTACACCCTAAAAATAATGATTGCCTCACCCGATTTTGAGATATTAATAAAAACTAATATTCTTAGATTAGTGAAGCAGGATGCCCATAAACCTATCCGCATGGAAGTCAATTTAAAACCAAAGAACTCAAAGGCGCTATCATAAATCGAATAAGGGCGTGAAGCTGTTCTTGTTAAATCTTTTTATGTATTTACTCGTTCTCTGAGCAGCTCATCACTCGTGGTTAGCTATCGATTTCACCATCTCATTGAATCGATGCGTATAGAAAAAGAAGTGCTCTTTTACTGACTAAACGTATCACAGAGGACACAAGATAACAGGAGCAGAACTGACCATTCGATGCCCAGTTTTGAATGCGGCCGGTGGTTTAACTATAAAAGTGGGTATTTTTGTCAAATCAACAAAAGTTGATGATTATCATGACACTGAACAGACTTTGTCATTCCATCATGACCAATATTTTACTTATCTTCGTTTCATCCCGTTAAGTCAAGCCGGATTTTTACTAAGATGTCATTTAAGGAATAATAAATCCCGCTGTTTTATGACATACCGAAACAAGGTCATCCAGATGTTCCTCTTTCATCCTTTGACAAATCACGTAAATCCGGTTCTTATATGTTTCGGTAATGGATATAGGTGCAGTAACGTGTGATCCACAAACAGTTGGCAAGGAGAACTAGATGGTTATTAAAGGACAAATTTTTCTATTCCATTCCATGTGTAAAGAATATACTCAACCGGTCCCCTTGACATTTGTGGTGCCTCTGACACTTTCTATTGTGATCAGTCCCGCAATATTATTGTAAACACTTGTGATCAATTTGCGTATCTCGCATCCCTCCTAATTTAGGATATTTGGAATGAGGAACCCAGTCCCAATTGGTTACTGGATCCATAAGAACAGTAGATGCAAAAGGACCAATTTTATAGAAATGCCAACCAGCACCGAGCATGTGCATACATTGTGCCGAAACGAATGGCACAGAAATTAGTTTCAGTGAAGCAGTGGGTTCCAGCCTTTGAGGTTTAGGTTCACTACGTTATTGTCAATGAGATAAATTTGCTAACAAGGTGTGCTCTTGAGATTTGTTGATTGGTGGTTCTTTTAAATTAGCTAAAGAATACCTTGTGGGTAATCATTTTATCGTACAGAAAAAAATATTAGCGTACAAGGATATGATCACCGGCCTTCAATGGATGCCAACCAAGTTGAATAGACTAAAAACGTCAGTTGTCACGTTTCTCAATAATTCTACACCAAGGCCTCAACATGAGAGCAAGGAATAATAATGATACTCGCATTCGTTCAGATAACGAGCGATTAGTAGTTGGAAATCCCTCCAAGTTACAGCATAAGTGTTCAGTGAATTCAAAAAATATACTAAGCGGTCGCTCGGCGATGAAGGTCTTTGATTTTTGGAATGAGTCAGTCTGCTGCAAGGAATGCAGTGGACGGTGGATAGAGTAGTGCGACAATAGGTCGTACGAATTATATTTAATTTTGTCTGGTGAGTCATCTGTATGCTAAAAACGGGTTTTCATGCTAGGTGGTAAAAACATTTCCCAGTGATTGTAGCCATTGTATCGGCTTTGCAGTTTTCGGTTGAACATTTTTGCAGAAAGAGCATTTCATAGGACGCCAAAAATGAGAGACAGTATTCAAACTCACACTTGAATTAATGAACACCAACCTCATGTAGGCGGTCTGGGTTAAAATGTGTAAGTAACTTTTTTGTGTTGTAGCGTTCTCAAGAGCATCTTTGGCGCAAAGGCATCAGATCAACAAAGAATAAAATACTCATCTTTCCTTCAACCAAATGTATTTTGGTTCTTCGCTAACCTGCATCGGAAAACCAAACGTCGACAGCAAGATAAGATGCAAATAGGATAACTATAAGCAGTTTAGTAAACAAAGGAAATTCTAAGGCAAGATGCTAGGATTTATCTGCGTCAAAAATAAGGCTAGAGGGACCACCCACCCGAGGCCACCTAAGTGGTCTTTACAGGTCACGACTACCGGCTATAAACTTGTAAACAGACTAGACTGCTAGACTACAAAAACCTCAACACTGTTAAGATCCTGTTCTTTCTAGTAGTAAAGAATTTGTTTAGCTTGATGGTAAACCAATCTTGAGCTCTTTAAGACGGCGGAAATCCTCCCATAACCCAAAATTCAGGACTAAGGATGATCCGCAGTAGCCGGACTATCAGTAGTTATCGGTAACCATGGATCGCTTCAAGCTAATGTATCACTAGAGGTTGAATTGAACTTTCTAGGGTGGAGACACTCATACCAATCTTATGAAAAGACTGACTTCTCTGTGGTGATGTTTGCTGGTACTCGTTCACCTCTGGAGCCATCAAGGGAAAAAAGATGCTGCTGTAGCATGGAATCATCTCAGACAAAGCTGGAAACTGGTTACGTTTCAGTCGGAGGCGCAACTTGGATATACGAAGACTTCAACTCTCCTTATATATCAGACACTGTTGCGAAACAAGTGTTAATCAGATAGAACAGCAATGAAGTGTGCAAATTGTGGGATAATTTTGCAAATTAGTGATTTGGTGGTGAAGTTTATAGGGGCAACGTAGTTGTTACATACGTAACGGGTTGTTACGTACAAAAACCACTGACTCATGAAGGCAGGTATGTTACTGCAATTAAACGCCAAAGATTGTCAAATTGTGGAGGTAAATTGGAACAAGCGTTGCTGATAGTTTGAACATACGCGCTAGCGTGTCACAAGCAAAAGTCCACGTAAATATAAAAAACAACCTAACTATGGAAAAGAGTATAAATTAAGCCACGCAACGACGGAAATAAATTAGATTCTGCGCCTATGGTGTACCTGGTGAGTTTTTTCACTGATAATGTCTCATTGTGGCCTCACTTTTGCCACCGTCCTCAGTCATTCAGTTACTAAAGACATATCGACGGGGTGGAGTAATAAAGAGTCGACGATAGATGTGGCGGCAAACACGACCTGACCAGCCTTTTAAACAGTTATTTTACCGTCAACTATCTAAAAAGTTGGGTTAGCAGCCACCTGCAGCGGGAGGTTTACAGCCACTCAAGGAAATCAACCGATTCTGCGTTTGCACACAGATGCTGAGGAAGGCTAGCTAATGAAGGACCTCAAACGAATGTAGTACTCACAGGCTTCGGTAAAGCGTTAGACAGATCTCACCGCTGCATACTACTTGCCGCAATCCATGAAAGTACCTTTCCGCTGTTCTCGATTTACCGCAAAGCAGGCTGCTTGCGAAATCACGGAAAGATAACTGCGATTAGTGGGCAGTAATGACTACCAGTGGGCAAGGATTGGTAATAAAAGCTATATTGTTCAACATTTACATCAGCAAATTGCTTCACAGGCCGAATAAAAAATTTGATGTTTCCTAATGACTTGGTGTGCGGTAGCATTTACACAAGCGAGCAAAGTAAACTCCTTCAGGATATATCTTATTCAACAGAAAAGTGGCCTCGGAGTCAAACCACAGGTCAAACCTCAAGTCAATACAACAGCTTATCAGCGCCTGCTCATATTCCGAACACTAGATGGAACACAGCATTTCGTGAATTGTGCCGAAAAGACAAGGTGTGTGATTCATGTGTTGTTTTCAAAGATCTCAAGATATAGGCACACGCCGCTAGAACTGCATAAAACATCATATGATTTTACGGGTTTTGAGAGGGCAGATGTCATTTTGAATCACGGAGACTTTGCCGAAACTCCTAAATATGTTCTAACAACCTGACATGAAGTATTTTTAATATGTGGAACAAATTCAGTGGTCGACCACGAAAGTGACATAAGAATTGAGACCTCAGTTATATAAATCGCTGCCTAATGCCTCACTTTGTTAACTCTTTCACTTGACACAATAGTTTGGAAATGACTTTTTCGCATTGAGTCTCTGGAGAGCAAAAGTTTGCTGTGGTGGGTTCGAACTGCATTCGAAGATGAAAACCAGGTGTGAAAGTCTCAGTAGGATACCACAATGCTCCATTTGTCTTTGACGTTGTTGTAGTGGCACTTGTTAGGGCCATGGAAAAGTTGCTAGGCTTGGACTTGTTAGGTAACTTCTAGACCTGGAGGCGCGAGCCAAAACTGATGGACGTGCGATGATGATAATATTCAAGATTCACCACCTAGACATAATCTGGTTCGGTCTAAAAGAAGTGCATAGGTGACAGGCCTAATCTACTTTCATCCATATGCACCCAATTTTTTCAGAACCACCGGTTGACCTACATATGTGCATTTCATAAAAAAATTACGAATATCACTATTAACACAAACATTCGATTTTTCATTTTTGTGACCTATGAGGAGTTCACAAAAGGTTCCGCGGGATTTTACTAACAAATGTAACCGTAATTTGTTTTTTTTTGCCCTGCAACAGCGTTTTCAAGTGTTTGACCCAGTTGCACTCCGTCTTTGCCTAAGGTGCCACTTTTTTAAGTATAATCCTCGGGGGCTTACACGGTTTCTGCATACAGGTCTTGTGGGTACTGTTGACACAAATCCGTGATACCTTAAGCACCACACAGCGACGATGCATAACTGTACGTTCGAAAATGAGGCATCTATTGCACTGATACAGGTCGTAAGCAAAGAAAGGGCGGGAGATTTTTCGTGACTTTGTATTATTAGCATCAGCCGAAAATTACGAACCATTTGACAAGTTTTTCGCGGATAAACATATAATAATAAAAACAGGAACATTCTCATTTGTAACTCACCTTTATAACGCCGTCTTTTGTTTTATCAAGTTTCATAAATGCCTTGTTAACGATTTCCTGACGGGCTTTGCTCATTGCAGGCTGGAATAAAAAGGCATCCAAAACGATTACCCGAAGAGCTTGAAGGAATTCCTCGAAATCAATACTCCCACTACCATCTTTGTCGATCATGTGAAAAATTTCTTCAATCTCTTCCTTTGTTAGGTCAGCCCCAAAATCTCTACAACCTTTCTGGAATTCTTTGAAGCACAGTTTTTTATTTCCGTCATCATCGATAATCCGGAATTGTCTGCAGATATGTGTGAACATCAAATTCTGCTAAATATCAAGTAACTCACCGACCGAGACCAACTATTCCATTAGCGCCCCTAGATAAACAAACGTTACGCAATTTTTCGAGAGGATCTGTGGCCTTTTCAAGTTGTCTTTTTGCCTTTTCTTGAAGCATATGATTAGTTCTGTCCGTGCAGGCCATTTGACTTCTATGAAATCTCGCTGTTGTCTTGTAAATCATAGATGGCACATTCAAACAATCGCTCATGATAACAAGTTCACAATCCGACAGACAATCATTAAGAGACGGCAGAGCAAGCAACTGCTATTCCCCACCATTTATAATTGGTTCAAGATGTGGGTCACTTCCTACGACGGGCGCGATTTCAAGAGGCGATGGCTAATGACAAAATGCAGTCATTTCAGGGCCATGATAACAGACTCACAAGGAAGCGCGTGGACCTCAACCTGTCAACAACCGATACTACTCTCCTAGAATGGTATATTATACAATTACCAAGTGACTTAACAGGGTGACCGACGGGTTTAGGCACGACGTCATGCTTTAAAAGGCCTCACAAGGATTGTCCCGAGTGGCTGAATGTAAACCACAGGCCATTGGACCAAACATATTTTGTAGATGGGTAGTCCGTGAAACGACTGCATCTACTTTCATGCATCTTGTTTGTTCAAGATGCTAGGTTTTCGTTAGCTGTCTACTCAGTGCGCTTTTGGTTACCTGGTTTTGTTTCTTTACAGGTCAGCTCCATTTTTCGTTGAATTTGTTTAACTTTTGTAAGTGGGCGCTAGTAGTTTTTATCACTTCTATCACATTTTTGGGGACAATCCTCTCCCAGTGCGCTTGACACAGTAAGAAGTAACAGACATGTTGAATCGACTGTAGATGGCAAACTACAACTGCATCGGTAGCTGTCGATCTCAGGTGGCCGACTGGACAGTGTATGACGTAAGAAGCCAATGTGGCCTTCTTTAGCTACAGGGAAGGTTTGCATGTGGATGGCATCTTTTTGGCGTGGAGCGTTAAATTGGTGGACGATGGGACATTTCAATTCGGCCTCGTTGAGCTCAGAATTACGAGATAATGCCGGGAGATGGAGGACAATCACAGGCGGCCAACTCAGTGCGAGCTAAGAAAAATGTCCCGTAATGTTTTCTTACATCCTTCGTTTTGCCAGGTGGTCAGGTTACCAGTAATAACGGGATTAAGATGTTCGGCTACCGCACTACAGTTCGGAGCAGCAACCAAGCTTCTGACAGTAACGGGCAGCAATCAAATGCTATCAGTGCAGTATCCGACCACGCTGTCTTTCATCGCTTAAGTCATACCTTAGTGCGAACATGTACAGCTCAGACGAGGAGATACCCAACCAAAAAATACTGGCAATAAATTTTATGCAACTGAACGGAGTCGGTGGCTTATGCCCTTGAGCTGTTGTCGCCGGTATCCACGTCTTGTTCATTGCAGCTTGAAGTGAAGTGGCAAACTATTCTTTCCTTCAAGTCACTTAGAGTTTACCCCCTCGCCTTTGGTGACAACCAAAAATGGCAATCCGAAATCACGGGGAATCGTCCCCAGGCCCAGGCTGTGTATGCATGTCGGAAGTTGCCAGCACCAGAAATGCTTTTCCATAAAGAAAACGTTTCGTTTCTCAAAAAAGTGTTTAGTTTGACCGCATTTCATTACCGGTTGAATAAACCCATAGGAGAACATCTGGAACAGCTAATACAGGAAGTGAAGAGAATGCGATGAGACCAATAGTAAGGATACTCATCATGCAACATGGATTTTATTGATAAAAGAGAGCCGAATCGTCCTCATGCGAACCAAAGCAGGTGAAGATATAGCCTAATGGACTCAGCAACCAAAGGCTGGCTGCGCTTACCAAGATAAAGCCTACACAGTACAAGGGGCACAGCACAATTCATAATCAATTCTCCCTCGCTCATCAAGTATGCAGCACACTCAGATAGTGATACAAGCGGTCGGCATTGGAAGAAAATTTGGCGCCTCCTGATTTGTACTGAGTGTCATTCGATCAGTGAGCCTTAGGCCGGGGAGATAACGGTTGTGCTATTTTAATAAAGCCAGGAGCTAGCTGACGCGGTAATGAGCATTTGGGGCTAGCCGTTGAACTGTTTTGCAGGGACAATGTCTTTTGGGTCGATTTCTCATGGTGCGGCGAATAGGAAAAGTTTGAGGAGACCCATATATCTAAATTCCTTTTTGGCATCTATCCTCATGATGTTTTCTGGTCCTTTCTCAAAGGCATTTGCTGAGTCTCTTCCAAATTAAATATGGACGCACTTTTCTTCGTTTAGAGAAGGGTGCCAGTTCAACGACCACTGCTTGGCAGCGTCTGCACCCAGTTGGAACGAAAACTCCAAGATTTCAAGTCGTCCGCAAAAAGTGGACATAGACTTGCGAGAACATCTGGAAAATCTTTGACGTAGATCAGAAGCAGCAGTGGTCCCAGAAGGGAGTCTTGCGGAACTTCAATGGAGATCGGCGCTGGAGAAGAATAGACCAGGCCTATTCTCACCCGGAATGATCTGCCTGATAGGAACGCCCTGATCCCGTGTGGAATTTTCCATTGAATCCCGTAAGGCTCGAAACTGTGAAGCAGCGGGACGTGTGGGACCCTATCAAATGCTTTTGAAAAGTCGATATGGTTTTCTCGTCCTTGACTTGGATTAGGCTGTCCATGAACACGGGGATATTTGTCACGCAAGAACGGTCTGGGAGATGGGTACATCAGGCTGCAGGAGGTAAGGTGATATAAGACACTTCGCCTCAGGATGCGCTCCATCAGCTTGCACGGCACGCTAGTGAGGCTTACAGGTCTGAAGCTGCCAGGCGATAGTCGGTCACCAGTTTTGTAGATTAGCTAGACAATTGCTTCCTTTCAAACAGAGGAAAGACGGTCATCGTTAAGGAACTGACGAAACACCAGGTATAAATGATTTGCCACTGTAGACGACGTTTCCTTCAGGACCTTTGGATAGACTTCGTCCGGCCTCAACGCGCAGAATGGGTTGATCTTGTGCAAGAGTTGACGAATGTCCTCCACCGTGCAGACCAATTCGGTTGGAGGCTGTTCGTAGTTCCGCCTTGACAAGAGTGGATTTGACGAGGACGCAGGGTCTGAATATATACCTGCGTTCTATGTAAACCTCAGATGCCACTGTTGGGGTAATAGTTGGTTCTCCGCTCATATCCCTCCAAAAGAACGCGGATGGCTCGTTTCTCTGGCAATATCTCACATATGTGAACAGTGCATTTCTGTTTTTTTCGAGCGAGGTCCAGGATGGTGGCTTGTTCACGTATGTCCCATTGGTGGACTTTTGATTTACAGCGGTTACGCATTTCCGGAAATGCCGGCTGATCTTCCGCGTCTCCTTCAGTCAATTTTTTGAAAAAAATGTTTGGAACTCTCTCCTTAAAGTCACCGAATTCCTTCAGGCAGCCTGCGGCTTATCTGACTGCATGATGGTTCTTTTGGGACGAACATCGCGTTCGCCTCGTGAACTTTCTGGACAATGGTCCTATATAATTCTTCCACTGAAGCTGTTCCCACTTTCTGGACAATGGTCCTATATAATTCTCCCACTGAAGCTGTTCCTAGGTGCGCATTCGTGAGAAGTCTGCACGGCGGAAGTCTCGAAACCACGTTTGAGGTTTGCGATTTCCAGCCCGATGGCGCAGTGGTCCGCATGTCCCCGTGCAGCGTTTATTGTCACCTAATCAACGAAAAGTCTTTCGTTGGTGATGACCAAATCCAGGAGGGATGGTAGTCGGCCCGCGCGGTATCTAATGCGTGCAATGACATGTTGGGTCCAAGCGCTCTGTTGAACGACCTCAATCAGCGCCACTGCAAAACGTCCGTTTGATCCGACGTGCTGGAGCTCCATCCAGGAGGCATTTGGAGCTTTGAGGTCACCTACCAGCAGGAGATGAGTGAAGTGGTAGTTGAAGGAGAGTTGCTCAAGGGTTTGTATGAGGAATTGGTCATCTTCAGGGGGACAAGAAGGGCTACGGTAGACCACGCCGAGAAGGAGAGAATCGGACAAGCGCAGCGGGATTTGGACCCACAGTGCATCGCAAAAGGGTGCAGGGGTGGTGTCAGAGAGGAC